GGCAGGTTTCCATTTTATTCAGGTTCCGTTTTAGACAGGTTATACTGTATTTGAAACTATAAGCTATACGATTTTCAAGTACTTTATACTAATAGAACTTAGATTATTTAACTAATAATTTAATTATAATTATTATTATTATTTGACTGTCAACTAAGAACGTAGGATCTATTAAACAGACTTTAACAATACCTTGTACAGTACATGAACAGAACAGATTTAATCAAAAATATAACCATCGTATAGAAGAATTTCTCTTTCTTTATTTCTCTTCTTCTGTAGAGGAATTCCTATAACTTTCTTCCATCTTATCAAGTTTTGGATTATTTTCTTAATATTTCTAGAACGTGCTATGACTTACTGTATGTAAGTAGAGTAACCAAAGGTCGTTTCATCTCATATTTTACTGAAAATGACGTATCAGCAATGTCTGACAACATGAAATTTTCTAAAGGACACACTCGCGTACTGTTGGTCTATAAGTTTAATAGTGGCCACAACGCAACGAAGGGTTTGTTAAAGCCCTGCAAAAGGTTTGTTAAAGCGTTCATGGGTGAATAAAGGTCAACCAGCTGTTGCAAAATGTCAAAGGGACTATAGTGCAGAAAAAGACGATAATCTGCGTCATCATGATAGATCTGTTTTTCCAACCAATACCAGTCGCAAATGAAAAACTTTATTGTGAACAACTGGATTGTTTGAACACCAAAATCAAAGAACTTCGCTCAAAAATTGACAAGATCCGATAATTCCATGACAACTCTTCAGCACATATAACAAAGATATAGACCATTCTAGGCTGGGTGATTATCAGATTTGCCACCAGATTTGACACCAACTAATACTCATTTAAAATAACCTTTATAATATTTAAATACTGAAAATTAAATTATTATAAATTTTTCTTTTAAAAAAATTAATTAATTTCTGAAGATTTACTATCGAAACTACTTTGGACGATGTCTTAAATAATTGATCTTAATACTGTATAATTATTTTGATGACGTATCAGTTTACGTATGAATAATTAATAAGTTTTTTATATTTTTTTTTACAAGAAAAATAATTCTTTATATCAATTGACAATGAATTAATGACGAGTGAACTCTTCTTTCATTATATTAAACACGTATATATGTACAGTACAGTACAATGAATGATGCATTGTATTAAATGCTGTATAATAGAGAAAACTGCGGAAATGACCTAATTACTTTTTGCAAATGTAAAATTTAAGTATAGTACATGTTATTAATTAATTTTATTATTATTAATATAAGTTCTATATAATTTATTATTTTTTTAAAGAAATCTAATAGAATAAATTTCTTAAAATAAAAATTTTAAAAAGTTCATTAATTAGGCCCTATCTTTCTTAATTTCTTAACATATTTAACAAATGTTAATTAACCTAAATCCATTAAACGAAAATACCACCTATAGACAAATGTTTCTGAAATCCTGTGTTTATAACTTTACATGGAATATTTAATTGGAGGAATTGCTACAATGAGATGTGGGCCTGGGTCAGTAACAAATATGGCGCTTCACCCCTGACCAAAAGATAGAAAACTGTATGAATAACCTCAATAAAATTACCTTTTTAATTATTTTTTTTAAATATAAGTAATATAGAGAGAGGGCTTCAAAAGTTTTAAAATTAAACCCAGATTTAGTCCCGGACCTTCTCTATTATCTATATTTATAAGAAACATAATTTTAGGAGACTTCCACGCCGAAGCCCGAACCAAATGGTTCCTATATTGTATGAATTTTCTATAAATAAAATATTTAATTTTAATATAATTTATTTATTTTATTGCTTAAAAAATTTGATTTAAAAAATTAATAATATAATAAACACTCCTATTCTATGCACTTACATATAAACTAATCCTGTATATATATGTGTGTATGTATGTATATATATATATATATATGATAAAATTTGAAATATTTATTTATTTACGTCACGTAGAATTTAACCAATTAAATTCCACAATATCACGTGGTTTATTTGATATAGTACAGTACATAATCATATGGGACAGCTGTATTTACCATTAGTTGAAAATGTCTGGAGGATTTTGGTTCACGATTTCCATTCCGTCAGAGGAATATGAAAGAAATTTAAATAATATCAAATTAGAAAAAGATTTTAAAGATGTTGAAGACAATTTAATATCAGGTAAATATATTTTTCTATAGAAAAATTAGCATGAATATGAACATTAAAATAGGCCAATATGTATATTCATTATATAAACTTATATGCCGTTTGCATCAAATAAATTATAAAGGTTTATTTAATATATGAAGAATTACAATTATTATATTTAATACTTGTTTTTTTTCTATGTTTAAAAAAAGTATAGAAACAGCCTTCACGCTTAAGTGAACCGTAATAATTTGTCTAATACAATACGGAGAAATGTGCAATATATCAATGTTATACAATAACACGAGAGGAATACAGAGGCTTTAACATATAGTTTATACTATTTAAAAAAATTAAATTATTGTTTTATAAAATATCTTGCGTGGTTAAATTTTTAACTTATTTTAGATAAGTTTCTTTATATAGTTAATTCTATTTTTATACATTTTAAATTCTTTCCGCTCTGCGGACACTAAGAAGGCTTTCTTTCATGCTTATCGTAGGTTCAGCCAAGCTCGTAATAGGGACTGTCATATTACTTTACTTAGAGCCATTTTAATCCGTCCCCATACATTTACGAGGCCTTAAAAATAATTTATTCCATTGAATTTCTTGTGTATTATGAATAATTCTTCAAACTTCTATCGGCTTCTCAGATCCTGGGGCAGAATAGTAGCGCTTAATTAATATTACATACGAAAGTTTATGTTATTATAACTGATATTCGAACCTTAAACCTATAGACAAATTTTGATTGAATTATAAATAAGAGTTTATATTATATACGACGGCCAAACAAAGGCTCTACAGAGAGACTGACATTTTCTGCTGTTTCATCATTATCACTTCATAAATTTGGCCCTCTTATTATTTATAATTCAATCAAAATTATGAGGTTTAAATTGTTAAAAGGTTTTTAGTAAATATATTATATTATATTCATTAGTATTTAAAATTATTTTAAATTTTTATAAAATATATCTATACATATGCATTTCTATAATAAAAATTTTTAAAAAATGTCACTAAAAATAATAATTTAAATTGAATAAATATAAATTATTCAGGAATTTTATATAATTTATTTTAAAAAATAACTGAAATTTTTATAATAAAATTTAATTAGGCAAGTATTGAAAAGCATTGAATTAATATATAATTATATTAAGTCTAAGTTTTTATATCATACAAAAGCATTAATTTAATTATTTAGAAAATAAATAAATTAATTAAATTAGCATTTAAAATAATTCAAATTTAATTATAAAAATGGTAAAAGTGTTGAATTAATATTTGATTACATTAAATTACTGTTTTTATATTTATTAAATTATTTTAAAAAATAATTAAAATATTTATAATAAAATTTAACCAAACAAACACGAATTAAAATTTTTAATTTATTTCTGTTTAAATGTAAAAAAATTAATAATAATAAATAGAATTTTCTTATATGCTTGATTTATTATTATTATTTTAAGAAATAATTATAAAAGAAATAATAATTTAAAACTTTATATTTTAAATACGAAGATGGAATCGAAGATAAAAAGGAGGAAGATGAAGAAGAAGCCGAAGAAGAGAAGAAAGATGATGGAAATATTTCTTCATCTGTAGAAGATTTAAAGAAACAAAAACCAAGAAAATCTACTGTTATGTTTATGGATAACTCTTCTGAATATTCGGAAGAAAGAGAATCATTTCATGAAGTAGATTTAAATGGTGAAACATTGTTTAAGGTTAGATTAATTCTTATGAAATCGTTAGAGAAATTAATTAAATTTTATCTCATTTATCTCTTGCGAAAATTTCTGAAATTATTGATTTGACGTAATACATTATCGTAAGTAATAAGTGTAATTTAATTGTTCGAATTACAATATTTTCACTCGTTTGGTTCACCTCATTAAATCGTACTGTTCATTGTTTCTACTTTAATTATCTTTTGCAAAATTATTATTTCGTTTAATATTAAGTAACAGGTTAAAAAATAATAATAATAATTTATATATTTGACATTATTCTAATTAAATTTCGATAACACAATTACGAGTAATAAATAATATTATTATTTCTTTTTTAGCGATTAAGAGATGCTCTGGAAATTTTGGGAATCGATGATGCTATATGGATCGCGAGTGAGGATAAAAATTATTATCACGTAAGTAAATTCGTATTTAAAAGAATCTCATTTAATTTATAATATTAACGATTTTTTTAATGTTTTTAAATACTTTTTAGGTTTATTTTCCTTGCGAACCTGGGGTAAGATGCGATTATGTTTTGGATACTCTTGCAGAAAGAGAGATTGGAATGAAGGCAAAATCTAGTTTAGGGTATAAAAAAATCATAAATTATTAACTTAATTACTAATAATTCGCTTATAATAGGTATAATTAAAGAAATTATAATACTTAATAACCAATAAAAGGTCATTATTTTACATCACATGATCATATCGTGTTAATGTGAAATAATTTCAAGAGCAATTATCAATTTATTAATAATTAAATGTCATTAATTTGTTTATTTAATGTTTGTAAAAAAGATAAATAAAAAATCTGTGATGTTTAATTAATATTTAATAAAAGAAATAACTTATTATTTAGAATCATACCCTGTGCTGTATTTTATCGTGACGTGGAAACTGAAGTAAAAACACCGATATATGAAGAAGAGGAGTAAGTTTATTATTTGTTATTGAAGATTTAAAAAAAAAATATTATAATTATAAATATTAATTAATTATTATCAGAGATAGCGAAGATGCTGGAGGAACGAAAACAAAACCTGATATTAAAAAATCATTGAAAGAAGGTATACGAAATATGCAAAGACAATTTTTAAAATCTGTAACTGCTCGTTTAACTGTAGCACAGGTTAGTTAAATTATCATATTTAACATTAATTTTATAGAATAAATCGAATTCGTATTCAAATATAAATTCTCTTTTATAAGGTAGTTGAAGGTGTTCGTGCAAATGCCATGCTAACTTTTGACTTTATGATGTTTACAGTCTTGGCAAGGTAAGATTTTTTAATGAAAATAAAATTTAAACTTAAACCATAAATTAAAAAAAAAAAAAATAGAATTATAGAAAATCAAAGATAAAATTCTTACATAATTAATGGCGGTTTTAGGCATAGAAAACCTTGATTTATACCAGAGTTTCGCGAGTATAGATATTCAATATAAGCATTTTCATACTTAACTAGGATCTAATACTCTTAATTTATTACTAGCTGAGTCATAAAGTTTGTACAATTAAAAGTACTGTTATTACATTATACAGTAGAGCGTCGTTTATCCGAATCAATTGGGGACTGGCGTTGTTCGGATAACTTATTTTTCGGATAACCGATTATATACGAAAAAATATATTAACCTATCCCGTGTTGAAATTTTTCTCCGTTGCGTGTCGCTTCGCGNTTCTTACATCACACTTCGATAATACAAAATTTAAGCGTGTTTTTTTAGTAGGAAAGCAACAATACAAGTAGACCCCCCTATAACATTGTAGATAATTCCGTGTTATATGAATTCCATGTTATACGAGTCATTTAGATTTTACAAATATGTGAGCCGTTCACAGCCCGGAGCACGTATTTGTGAAATCTAAGTGGAACATGGAATTCATATAACACGGAATTATCTACAATGTTATAGGGGGGTCTACTGTACTTATTGTTAACGTAAGCAATTAATAGACTTCTCGGTGAATATTTCAATATCGTTTATTCAGCGATGTCAACAATACATGATGAACAATTTGAAAACTTAAAATGGTGTTATGTACAGTACATTACAATACATAGACGTAGCGAAAGAGTAGCCTGGATATACACTATATGTACACCATCCATTAAGTCAAAAACAGAGAAAGACTGTGGTGTTTACTACAGATGAATATTCATTTCTTCTGAAGTCAGAAAAGTTCTCTATTTCTTTCAGATTTTGTAACTTAATGTTTCCTTTTTAGGATAATAGGAGAAAAAAACTGTTTGTTTAAAGTAGGGTATCTCTATGGAGAGATTATTTTAGATGCAAATATATATTGATAATTACACCAGTCAAAAGTGTAAGTAAACACTACTAGATGAAAGATAATTTATTTAACATATTAGTGTTTAAATGTTGTCTGGAGGCATTTAAAAATAGATTTATAAGGTAAGGTTATAAAGATTGATCTACAGAGACTAGGACCATCCATTATTAAGCTCTAATCAATAAAATTTCGGATGTAGGATCATACTTCTATGTTCATAAATCCGAAACTTCATTATGTGTTTAAATTATATAATATAGTAAAAAACATAGAGTATTGATACTTTTTACAGGAAAAATAAAAATTTACATAATATATCGATTATTAAAGTGTATACACTTAGAAGTACCTGGTATTAAAAGAAAGATATATATTTTAAATTAAAAAAAAATTATACTTTCAAATGTAAATAGAAATATTTATATCGATTTTTTTATTTAATAATTTACGAAAATATCACACAAACAGTCTTTTTTCTGGGAAGAATAATACTCCATTAACAACAACGTGAAACAAACGAAAATTACTATTAAAGACTTAACTTCCGTCAGATTATTATTGATTACTTTCTTCAATAAATGATGAAAATATCGAACCGTAAATATGAATTACACAAAGAAGGTATCAGAAGCGGTGTTGAAAAGTCTCTTTAATCCATTTAGTTCTGCTTTCTGCACCAATTCGGAATCACTGAAGCGTAGAACCGAACTCTTTTTGGCTATGTTCTTTAATGTTTGGTTAGATTAAAAAAAATTCTTTAACTTTTTATATTGCTCCTTTCCTAAACATTAAAACTGACACGAAAATAAGAACTTATTCACACTATTATTATTATTATTAATTTTTTTTGTAATTATAGTAGACTCCTCTTTACGACCATTTATATTATAACTCTCGTTTTACGACTAGCTCTATTATTATAATAATTTTATTATTTTGTGATATTTAGTACTAGAATTTCATAACTTTACGAACAAAACCTCAATTTATGATACAAAACATAAAAGAAATTAGGTTTCGATAGGTACGATATCGTCCAAATAATATTATGTTATATTTCATATTGTCCCGAAAATTCAAGAGTATATTAATAATAAATTATAAATAACATCAATAAAAATAGGCAAATGACACTTAAAATTCAATACTGAATGCGATGGCGTGGGATGACACTCGCGATCCTACGTGCTCAATGTCGCGAGTTATTTGACGGGAAAAATTGTGCTATTTCATTATATTATTATCCACACGTTTATGGAATGTGAATATTTATTAGTCTAAATTTATTATTAAAGTCAAAAAGGGAAAAATCCAACTTGTTTTTTTTCATAAAGATTGCCTAAAGAATTCAATACGTCACGACAATTGATAACAGAAAATGTCATTTCACAATAAGGTAATTCCGAAAATTAATAAAAATCATCGTTTGATAGAAAAACGACTTTTCTAATAATAAAACACTAAAATAGTTTTTGTTAGTCATACGTAAAACTGATAATGAATATTTATACATTATAAATATGTATAAATATTCATATATAGGTCTAAGTGTATTTCAGAACTATGTATCGAATGATCGTAATTAAAGTCCCTTTTCAACGCTGTTTAGAGAGATATTTAGCAATTCAAATGCAATCAAATTTGGTATGGTGATATTTCATGACATGCAGAAGACATTTTTGTAAAACAGAATAGTACAAAAACGCGCCACTATGGTAATTTTGGTGCTGAACTTATTTGTAAAAAATACTCTTATTATACAGTGATTCTGCTCAATACTGTTTCCATTATGACAGCGTGTTCATTGGGTGATAATTGATCCTCTGCGATATCTCACATACAATGCGATGCCTTTCAAGGCTGCAAAATTTGCAAAATGTCTTCGATAATCTACACTTTTTGTCTCCACAAATGAAACTGATCTTTCTTCACTTACATCATCAAACATACCACAGTAGTGAGTTTCGGTACTAATATTTATTTTACGGAAATGTTTTCTGCATGTCCTGAAATGTTACCATATCAAATTTGGTTCTATTTGGACTGCTAAATGTCTGTCTAGAAGACGTTGAATAACGGGTATTTTAATTACGATCTCCTGGTATATTAAACTAGAATAATAAATTATATCTTACGTTTCGATTTAGTTTTTTATAGTTGATATTAATGACTTCTATTTTATTTGAAAGGGGAGCCACGTGCCTAATTCTAATATAGTATTAAGCTTAAATAAAATAAACAATTTCATTGTATTTTTTCCAGCCTTTGAGCACTAACAGAGATAATATTATTTATAAAATACCATATAAACATAATATCGATTTATTATTATATAATTATCTCTAAGAACGTAATGTTAATTTATAACACTGGGTCTATGTGAAATTACGGTTCGATTTACGACGGCTCAACTTTTAAGATAATTAAAATAGGTTTCTACTATATGAAAATAATACAGAATTTTCTTACCTTTTTATCCTTATATTCTCAACTGTATTAATAATAATTAATTATGTTTTAGATTCTTAATGAAAAGATTATTGCTGTTTTTACCGATTAAAATTCCATTTATTCTTACTTGTTAGTAAATAAAATACAACGTATGAGTGTTTTATAATTATTCACAATGATACTTAAAAAATTTTTTATCAAAGTCTATAGTGAAGCAATATCGTAGAGAAATATTTTATATTCACTATTATGATTCTGCAATTAAAATTTTATACATCATATACTACACAATGTTGCACCCGATACTGTAAAAATTATAAAATACCAAAAGTAATCACAATAGTGAATTTATTGTATTCTAATTAAACAATATGTATGTTTTCTGTGTATTATTGAGTTAAGATTATTCTAAAAGTATGCTAATTTTTACACCAAATTAATTATAATTACGATAGATATACACTTTTACTTCCTTTGAGTATCGTCGTAAAGTGAGTCAGTCACCTTATTTATCGTAATCAAATGCGTAAATTAAGAGATTAGTTCATAAAAATTTAGTGCAAAAGTATCTACACCTTCTCTGGAAATTGAAATATAACACTAAAATTGCTAACATAAGTATGGCATTTTATAAATAATTATAGAAAAGTTAAAAGGAGAGGTCGTAAAGCGAGCGTTTACCATAAAATTTGAATTATTATTATTATTTTTTAAATCGCATTTTAAAATAGAAAAATAATATTTTAATTTAAATTATAATAACTTTCACATGAAGTTTTTCATATGAACTTTAAAAAGGGGTAATTTTTTAACAAAATGCCAGCATTATTTACAAAGAAAGTAAAGCTGAAAGTGTTTTGAATATGTAATAATTCTTCTTTATAATAAATTATCATATTATTAATTATGATGACAAGAAATTCTTTATGCATTCTTTAAATAGCTATTTCTTCATATAAGAATTCGTATATATTTTTAATTATATTTTAATTTTAAAAAATCACGTGTCTTCCGGTCATTTAGTTAATCGGACCTATGGCCCCCTTAAGACTTCCATATTTGGTCTCTATTTTCATCTATATAACTCCGTTCTCGAGATTTAGGAAAAACGGACGGACATATTCTATAAGTCAGCAATTTGAAAAGTGTAGCCCATTAATTAACATTATGAAGATTGGTGTTAAACATAGAAATACAATGGAAACTCGATTATCCGAAACGATTTTCAATATAAAGAAAAAAAGATAGACCATGTATACGCCATAGAATATAATCAAAGAGATCAAATTCTCCATGTAAATAGATATTTCACGTCATATGTCGATTGCAGCGCCGCGAAACTGGGTTATAGACCTATACGTTGGTTTAATTCGATTAAGGCAACGTGACATATGGACGATTCTGCCGAGAGGGAAATACATTCCGGAAGGTCTTTTATGGTAAACTGGCCCTTATTTAGGTGAAGAAAATCCTGAAAACTCCACATTTGCCAACCCGTTAGCTATAGACGAAACCACGAACAGTATTCAATGGTTTTATCCTCTCGGCCACTGGTGGGCAAATTATATACGTAATATTTTATTAGATTTTCAGTAAATTAATTTAATTTCAACTACATTAATTGCATTTCAGTATTTATAGTTCATGAAAATTTAAATGCACAATGCTTGATGTACTCAAAACACAAGTTCCTGTATTATGTGAAAGACCTCTGGTTCCATCAAGTTCGGATAATCGAATATCCAATGTATAAGATATCTTTATCTCATTATATACGATTAACTTACGATTATTTAGTATTATAAATATTACAATTTTAAAATTGAATTTAAAATGTTTGATAAATTATTAAATACAGGCATTTATACAGTAATTATACTTAAAATTTAATGCATGAATATTACATAGCTTCAAATACATGAAATGATGCTTAATTGTTAATGATCCAATCTAAAGCAAATTGTTATAATATAATTTGTTACAAATAATATTTTATTAAAAAATATATACAATACGTAATCTTAATTAAGATTATGCATTATAAATATACATTCATTTTATATAGGGTGGCTCAATAGTTAGTAAACCATTGTAACAAATAAATTGCCTTATTCAAATAATTCATTTCTTACAAAGATTTACAAAGCTTCGAGTTATATTAGCAAGTGTACTTCAATAGCACAGTTAACTGACTTTTAAACTCTCTTTGTATAGCTATAAATATATTATATTTATATAGTTTAATAAAGTTTAAATAAATTATAATTATTATATTTATTTGACTGTCAACTAAGAACGTAGGATCTATTAAACAGACTTTAACAATACCTTGTACAGTACATGAACAGAACAGATTTAATCAAAAATATAACCATCGTATAGAAGAATTTCTCTTTCTTTATTTCTCTTCTTCTGTAGAGGAATTCCTATAACTTTCTTCCATCTTATCAAGTTTTGGATTATTTTCTTAATATTTCTAGAACGTGCTATGACTTACTGTATGTAAGTAGAGTAACCAAAGGTCGTTTCATCTCATATTTTACTGAAAATGACGTATCAGCAATGTCTGACAACATGAAATTTTCTAAAGGACACACTCGCGTACTGTTGGTCTATAAGTTTAATAGTGGCCACAACGCAACGAAGGGTTTGTTAAAGCCCTGCAAAAGGTTTGTTAAAGCGTTCATGGGTGAATAAAGGTCAACCAGCTGTTGCAAAATGTCAAAGGGACTATAGTGCAGAAAAAGACGATAATCTGCGTCATCATGATAGATCTGTTTTTCCAACCAATACCAGTCGCAAATGAAAAACTTTATTGTGAACAACTGGATTGTTTGAACACCAAAATCAAAGAACTTCGCTCAAAAATTGACAAGATCCGATAATTCCATGACAACTCTTCAGCACATATAACAAAGATATAGACCATTCTAGGCTGGGTGATTATCAGATTTGCCACCAGATTTGACACCAACTAATACTCATTTAAAATAACCTTTATAATATTTAAATACTGAAAATTAAATTATTATAAATTTTTCTTTTAAAAAAATTAATTAATTTCTGAAGATTTACTATCGAAACTACTTTGGACGATGTCTTAAATAATTGATCTTAATACTGTATAATTATTTTGATGACGTATCAGTTTACGTATGAATAATTAATAAGTTTTTTATATTTTTTTTTACAAGAAAAATAATTCTTTATATCAATTGACAATGAATTAATGACGAGTGAACTCTTCTTTCATTATATTAAACACGTATATATGTACAGTACAGTACAATGAATGATGCATTGTATTAAATGCTGTATAATAGAGAAAACTGCGGAAATGACCTAATTACTTTTTGCAAATGTAAAATTTAAGTATAGTACATGTTATTAATTAATTTTATTATTATTAATATAAGTTCTATATAATTTATTATTTTTTTAAAGAAATCTAATAGAATAAATTTCTTAAAATAAAAATTTTAAAAAGTTCATTAATTAGGCCCTATCTTTCTTAATTTCTTAACATATTTAACAAATGTTAATTAACCTAAATCCATTAAACGAAAATACCACCTATAGACAAATGTTTCTGAAATCCTGTGTTTATAACTTTACATGGAATATTTAATTGGAGGAATTGCTACAATGAGATGTGGGCCTGGGTCAGTAACAAATATGGCGCTTCACCCCTGACCAAAAGATAGAAAACTGTATGAATAACCTCAATAAAATTACCTTTTTAATTATTTTTTTTAAATATAAGTAATATAGAGAGAGGGCTTCAAAAGTTTTAAAATTAAACCCAGATTTAGTCCCGGACCTTCTCTATTATCTATATTTATAAGAAACATAATTTTAGGAGACTTCCACGCCGAAGCCCGAACCAAATGGTTCCTATATTGTATGAATTTTCTATAAATAAAATATTTAATTTTAATATAATTTATTTATTTTATTGCTTAAAAAATTTGATTTAAAAAATTAATAATATAATAAACACTCCTATTCTATGCACTTACATATAAACTAATCCTGTATATATATGTGTGTATGTATGTATATATATATATATATATGATAAAATTTGAAATATTTATTTATTTACGTCACGTAGAATTTAACCAATTAAATTCCACAATATCACGTGGTTTATTTGATATAGTACAGTACATAATCATATGGGACAGCTGTATTTACCATTAGTTGAAAATGTCTGGAGGATTTTGGTTCACGATTTCCATTCCGTCAGAGGAATATGAAAGAAATTTAAATAATATCAAATTAGAAAAAGATTTTAAAGATGTTGAAGACAATTTAATATCAGGTAAATATATTTTTCTATAGAAAAATTAGCATGAATATGAACATTAAAATAGGCCAATATGTATATTCATTATATAAACTTATATGCCGTTTGCATCAAATAAATTATAAAGGTTTATTTAATATATGAAGAATTACAATTATTATATTTAATACTTGTTTTTTTTCTATGTTTAAAAAAAGTATAGAAACAGCCTTCACGCTTAAGTGAACCGTAATAATTTGTCTAATACAATACGGAGAAATGTGCAATATATCAATGTTATACAATAACACGAGAGGAATACAGAGGCTTTAACATATAGTTTATACTATTTAAAAAAATTAAATTATTGTTTTATAAAATATCTTGCGTGGTTAAATTTTTAACTTATTTTAGATAAGTTTCTTTATATAGTTAATTCTATTTTTATACATTTTAAATTCTTTCCGCTCTGCGGACACTAAGAAGGCTTTCTTTCATGCTTATCGTAGGTTCAGCCAAGCTCGTAATAGGGACTGTCATATTACTTTACTTAGAGCCATTTTAATCCGTCCCCATACATTTACGAGGCCTTAAAAATAATTTATTCCATTGAATTTCTTGTGTATTATGAATAATTCTTCAAACTTCTATCGGCTTCTCAGATCCTGGGGCAGAATAGTAGCGCTTAATTAATATTACATACGAAAGTTTATGTTATTATAACTGATATTCGAACCTTAAACCTATAGACAAATTTTGATTGAATTATAAATAAGAGTTTATATTATATACGACGGCCAAACAAAGGCTCTACAGAGAGACTGACATTTTCTGCTGTTTCATCATTATCACTTCATAAATTTGGCCCTCTTATTATTTATAATTCAATCAAAATTATGAGGTTTAAATTGTTAAAAGGTTTTTAGTAAATATATTATATTATATTCATTAGTATTTAAAATTATTTTAAATTTTTATAAAATATATCTATACATATGCATTTCTATAATAAAAATTTTTAAAAAATGTCACTAAAAATAATAATTTAAATTGAATAAATATAAATTATTCAGGAATTTTATATAATTTATTTTAAAAAATAACTGAAATTTTTATAATAAAATTTAATTAGGCAAGTATTGAAAAGCATTGAATTAATATATAATTATATTAAGTCTAAGTTTTTATATCATACAAAAGCATTAATTTAATTATTTAGAAAATAAATAAATTAATTAAATTAGCATTTAAAATAATTCAAATTTAATTATAAAAATGGTAAAAGTGTTGAATTAATATTTGATTACATTAAATTACTGTTTTTATATTTATTAAATTATTTTAAAAAATAATTAAAATATTTATAATAAAATTTAACCAAACAAACACGAATTAAAATTTTTAATTTATTTCTGTTTAAATGTAAAAAAATTAATAATAATAAATAGAATTTTCTTATATGCTTGATTTATTATTATTATTTTAAGAAATAATTATAAAAGAAATAATAATTTAAAACTTTATATTTTAAATACGAAGATGGAATCGAAGATAAAAAGGAGGAAGATGAAGAAGAAGCCGAAGAAGAGAAGAAAGATGATGGAAATATTTCTTCATCTGTAGAAGATTTAAAGAAACAAAAACCAAGAAAATCTACTGTTATGTTTATGGATAACTCTTCTGAATATTCGGAAGAAAGAGAATCATTTCATGAAGTAGATTTAAATGGTGAAACATTGTTTAAGGTTAGATTAATTCTTATGAAATCGTTAGAGAAATTAATTAAATTTTATCTCATTTATCTCTTGCGAAAATTTCTGAAATTATTGATTTGACGTAATACATTATCGTAAGTAATAAGTGTAATTTAATTGTTCGAATTACAATATTTTCACTCGTTTGGTTCACCTCATTAAATCGTACTGTTCATTGTTTCTACTTTAATTATCTTTTGCAAAATTATTATTTCGTTTAATATTAAGTAACAGGTTAAAAAATAATAATAATAATTTATATATTTGACATTATTCTAATTAAATTTCGATAACACAATTACGAGTAATAAATAATATTATTATTTCTTTTTTAGCGATTAAGAGATGCTCTGGAAATTTTGGGAATCGATGATGCTATATGGATCGCGAGTGAGGATAAAAATTATTATCACGTAAGTAAATTCGTATTTAAAAGAATCTCATTTAATTTATAATATTAACGATTTTTTTAATGTTTTTAAATACTTTTTAGGTTTATTTTCCTTGCGAACCTGGGGTAAGATGCGATTATGTTTTGGATACTCTTGCAGAAAGAGAGATTGGAATGAAGGCAAAATCTAGTTTAGGGTATAAAAAAATCATAAATTATTAACTTAATTACTAATAATTCGCTTATAATAGGTATAATTAAAGAAATTATAATACTTAATAACCAATAAAAGGTCATTATTTTACATCACATGATCATATCGTGTTAATGTGAAATAATTTCAAGAGCAATTATCAATTTATTAATAATTAAATGTCATTAATTTGTTTATTTAATGTTTGTAAAAAAGATAAATAAAAAATCTGTGATGTTTAATTAATATTTAATAAAAGAAATAACTTATTATTTAGAATCATACCCTGTGCTGTATTTTATCGTGACGTGGAAACTGAAGTAAAAACACCGATATATGAAGAAGAGGAGTAAGTTTATTATTTGTTATTGAAGATTTAAAAAAAAAATATTATAATTATAAATATTAATTAATTATTATCAGAGATAGCGAAGATGCTGGAGGAACGAAAACAAAACCTGATATTAAAAAATCATTGAAAGAAGGTATACGAAATATGCAAAGACAATTTTTAAAATCTGTAACTGCTCGTTTAACTGTAGCACAGGTTAGTTAAATTATCATATTTAACATTAATTTTATAGAATAAATCGAATTCGTATTCAAATATAAATTCTCTTTTATAAGGTAGTTGAAGGTGTTCGTGCAAATGCCATGCTAACTTTTGACTTTATGATGTTTACAGTCTTGGCAAGGTAAGATTTTTTAATGAAAATAAAATTTAAACTTAAACCATAAATTAAAAAAAAAAAAAATAGAATTATAGAAAATCAAAGATAAAATTCTTACATAATTAATGGCGGTTTTAGGCATAGAAAACCTTGATTTATACCAGAGTTTCGCGAGTATAGATATTCAATATAAGCATTTTCATACTTAACTAGGATCTAATACTCTTAATTTATTACTAGCTGAGTCATAAAGTTTGTACAATTAAAAGTACTGTTATTACATTATACAGTAGAGCGTCGTTTATCCGAATCAATTGGGGACTGGCGTTGTTCGGATAACTTATTTTTCGGATAACCGATTATATACGAAAAAATATATTAACCTATCCCGTGTTGAAATTTTTCTCCGTTGCGTGTCGCTTCGCGTTGAATTTTCGTCGATGTTAAGCCGAACGTAAACTTTTTAAAATAATAATCGTGGCTATTGTATCGTTAAAAATGATTTCTTTATGTTTTACAAACGAAATATATACATTAAAAATATAAAAACAAATAAAAATTATACTTTAGGCCGACTGGAATTCTTTCGGATAACCGACGTTTCGGATAAACGACGCTCTACTGTATAAACTTATATAAAAAGAGCCTAGCAAATCTATTTTCTTAGAGCTTAAAACCTTTACTGAATTACTTAAATAATACTAAAACAAATAACTAATCTAAGCTAAATTATAATGGATTTCTTTTTCCATAAAGAAGAAAATTTTAATTAAATTGAAACTAAATTTTAATTATATCGTTGTACTTATTAGTATGATTGCAGCTTTGGGCTTGATGGAAAATAGTTCGGTTGTTTTGGTTGCTAGTATGCTTATTTCACCTTTAATGGTAAGAAGATTTAAATAAAAATTTAAATATTAAAATGTAAAATTATAATATGAATTTTTCATTTAAATAGGGACCAATTTTGGCAGGAACTTTTGGAGCTGTTATACAAGATAAATCTCTTAGAAATCTTGGAATAAAAACTGAAATCGTCGGTCTTGTTTTATGCCTTCTGTTTGGTAAAATTATATTTAATAATCTTTTTTTTTAACAGATTAAACACTGAATTTGAAAGAAATAGAGCTCTCTCTCTCCATCAAAAACATTCATAAGTATTAAAATTCAAATGTTTTTATAGGTTTTGTATTTGGATTAATTTGTGCAAACTTCAGCAGTAAATGGGGACAAGGTGATTGGCCCACAACCGAAATGGCGGCGAGGTATTATATATATATAAACTGTATAAGAATATTCATCTGAAAGAATACATAAATAAATTTTCTTTTCTCCACTGTAAATTTTAGAGGACAAGGAAGATCTTTATGGGTAGGAGCTCTCATAGCTTTACCATCGGGAGCAGGAGTGGCCCTCTCTGTATTAGGTGGTAATGCTGGATCATTGGTAGGTGTGGCAATATCTGCATCGTTGTTACCACCAGCCGTAAATGCTGTAAGTTACTTTCTTAGGTTCATTATTTCCAGCAAAATCATTCATTTGTAAAGAAAGTATCTTTGTTCTCAATCTATTATAGGGATTACTTTGGGCCGTGTCTGCCGTGAAAGTTCAGAGGTCAATGACAGAATTTCCTATTCTTGTAAGAATAATCTTCTTATATCAATTTAAAACAATGAATTATTTAATATTTTTATATAATAATTACAACGTATATTATATTTTCCTCACTTTTAAGTGTATACAATTAAAGATCTATTCGATTAATTGAAATGGTGCTTATTTTTACGTCAATTTGACGTCACTACTTCAGTTTTATAATGAATGTTTATAAAGAATGACGTCAAATTTACGTAAAAAATGTGCACTCTCCCAACAAATGGAATAGATTTTTTTTTATATTTGAATTATTAAAAATTTATTTTAAAATATATTTTTAATTTAAATAATTAGTTTAAAAAGGATAACATTTCAAGAATGATAAAGCCATCGTTGATCCCCCCAGAAGGATATCACGTGGAATATTTTGATACCATGGAGAAAGAATGCGCCGTTTTAGGCGTTGTTAGCCTACTACTTACTTTAGTAAATATATTATGCATTTTCTTGATGGCTGTCTTAGTTTTAAAGGTATTATTTGTAAAAAAAAAATAACATAAAATTTAATAATATATTTAATTAGTATATCTAATTATAATTAGATATAATCAATAAACCTGTAGATAAAAGAAGTCGCACCCAAAACAGCCGCTCCTCAAACGTCGAGATTTTGGAAAGAGGATCTAAAAGTATGTCTTTAATACTAAAATATACTTTAATTTATATAATTTATAAAGTTTTTTCGTGATTTTTTTATTATAGATAGCGCGTGATTATAATAAAACTATATCAAAGTCAGAAGGGAGAGAATTAGGAAAGGAGTTTTTGGACGAATGGGCGGTGAGTTTAAGAGCATTTTAAATATATTTACAGCTTATTATTTATTTAAAATTTTAAAAAATATGCTTTAAAACAATGTTAATATTTAAAGAATAACATTATTATTATTATTTTTATTACCAGAATTTAAGTGGATTCGATACAACCGATCTCAGACCAAGAATATCGCAATATAACGCTCTTAGAAATATTGTTAACGTAAGAAAAATAATATTAAATAATTCTATTATAATGATATAATTATATTGAATAATATGTTTATATTTTAGGATGTGGAACTTGATCCCGTATATCAAACGGTTATGAGAAGTATGCCTTCTAGGGTAAGTAGTATCATTTTGAATGTAGATAAAAAGCAATTATAGTGACAAATTAAGATGAAATGCTATTTATTTTAGCCATTGTCTCAACGGTTGAGCACCATTCCAGAAAGAGATAAAAGAAGTACTTGGGACCCAGAAATGGGAGCTGATCCGACTTACGCTATGACAGTGGCTGCCTCTAATCTACGCCGTCATACGTATTTATCATTCGAAAATGAAGAAAAACCAAAATTTAAACCTACTAAATTAGAAAATGGACTGGTATGTATACAATATATGCATTGATTTTAAATAATATATAATTACATTAACAGAAAAATGAAAAAAAAATCATGCGAAACAAAAAACAAAAGTTCTTCATAGCTTTTTAATTAATTTACGGTTAATTAAACCGAAAAGAAGTAATAAATTGTAATTTTAAGTTAATTGATAGCTATTTTACAATGTTTTTCTACTTAATTAAGTTAATAATGTAGTTAACAATGTTAACTCAATTAAAGATGGGCCTATCATGGGCCGAGTGGATAGAACCATTGAACCAATAATTGTGGGCTGGCCACGTGAAATTTTCCGGGTTTATTCACGTGTCTAACCTAAATAGATGGCCAGTTTCCCATCTCATGTGTCTAATACTAAATAGGAAGCCAGTTTCCCCATAGAAATGCAGATTTCCAATGTGTTGTATAATTGCTCCAAAAACAAATTTTAAAACGTCCACTGACGAGAATATAAAAACTTACCCGTTGTTTTCGGGGATGGTCCTCGTTAGGAAGTTATTATGCATTTCAGAAAGAAATATCTCTGAAAAAAAAATAATTGCCGTTCAGAGTTGGCCGTTATTGGAGATTAAACTGTACCTCTAAAAATGCAAAATGACGATGAAAATGATGATTTCGAATGCTAAATTATGGAAATATATAGTATTATTTATGACTGGTAACGGTATTTGATTGTGACAATATACATTAAGATGTTAAAACACCGTAATGTATATTGTTCACAATCAGCTACATTAAAACTTATTAGGTTTGTTACATGTAATCAATGTCAAGAAGAAAAGGAAATCGTGCATTAAAACACGAGATGTTCTTGATGGCACGTCTTTTCAAGCAGTAACTTTTAAGTAGTTCTAGCTCTTCCTGTATGGTTTCGATTGACTGATCAGATATATATATTAGGCTATTGTATACATATGTTTGCACATCAATGTCACCACAATCACGAACTTGCATTAAGTAACGTTACATCTGAGACATGTGTTATAAGCACTTCGTGACAATCAGCATACGATTGCTGACTTAAGAACTGAGTACGTGAAATTATATCGATTCCAATAGGAATTTTCCATAGTATAATTGCTATAATTACACTACACTTTAGATTATTGAAGTAGATGCAGTATATATAATGTCCATGAATGATTTATATAATAATATCAATACTTTATCTATGAAAGCTCTGTAAAGTTTATCCCATTTGATTCATATTCTTAATGTATAACATGTTACATAGATTTTACTGATAGATGATAGACTTATGCAAGTTTCCATCTTATATATAGTTTTATATAGAATAATTAGATCCATCATCGTCTTTAAAAAATCAATTTGTCAAAATTAATTCGAGGGATATTTTCTTTAGAAATATTTGATTTATCATTTTAATTAAAGATTATGATTGCAACAGGATATTTCATAAGGAAAATTTTATCATTTTAGAGAAATAAATAAACTAAGTGAAGAAATCAGTCAAATTTCTTCACTTTCAATAAGTATATTTATAGTTTTTATACTTCAAGATTCATAAGTTCGTATTATATTCTTTAATTTATATTTGTACAGTACAGTACATACTTCTTTCAGATTAAGTAGTAATAAGACAGTAATTAGGAACTACGGAGTAAATATTTGAAAGTTATCAATAATAAGCACTTTTATTTTACAACTACGTTTACTTTTTCCACGTGTTATTCCCGATAATCTTATATAATTACTGTATCACCAAACATATGCGAATATATTAATAACGGCCATATATTATACTATAAATACAAATAATAAGCCTACGAGACAATTTTCAAAACACACACATATATATATATTAAGTACATAACCTTGAATTTTAATGAAATTATTTTTTTCCCTGCTAAATATGTGAATCTATAACGGGGTGGTCCAAAAATGAGTTAACTGAGATGTATATATTGTTGAAAAAAATCGAAGCAGCTTAAAACAGGTGTGCAATATTAATCGAATTTTGTACATAGATTGGTATATAAATAAAAAGGTCATTACAACATCGAAGCACTAAAATACATCATTAAAAAACAATTTCATTGCAAATGGTACATATTTGTAAGTTGATCATTCCATTGTGGGCCTGGCCTTACCCACAATGGGTTATAAAACTGTACTTCTGGGTTATATATGTGGGTTATATACTGTACTTCTGTTGATATTCATTCCATTGATTTGCTATGGAAAACTGAGAATTATTTTTGTTAATAGATAATAATTAGGGGTTTTTTAAGCTATTTATATTCGGTTCATTAGCTGTTCATACATTTTTTAGAAGTTTATCTAGTTCTAAACTCTATATAAAATAATTCATAAGAGATAAGAACACATATCACATAATACAAACATTATAAAACAGATGTATTATTTAAAAATAATGAAAACAGCTGTACTAATACAATCAATTCTCTAAGCCGTTTCCTTCCAAAAAAGTATTCAAGAATTATAGATTTTAAAATTACTTTACAGCAATTATTTAATTATTTATTTATCTTTGATTAGATAATAATTTAGAGAATTAATTTTAGTTAAAATAATACTAGGAAATGATGGTTAATATTTCAGTATTTTACATGATGTGNATTTTAAATTCTTTCCGCTCTGCGGACACTAAGAAGGCTTTCTTTCATGCTTATCGTAGGTTCAGCCAAGCTCGTAATAGGGACTGTCATATTACTTTACTTAGAGCCATTTTAATCCGTCCCCATACATTTACGAGGCCTTAAAAATAATTTATTCCATTGAATTTCTTGTGTATTATGAATAATTCTTCAAACTTCTATCGGCTTCTCAGATCCTGGGGCAGAATAGTAGCGCTTAATTAATATTACATACGAAAGTTTATGTTATTATAACTGATATTCGAACCTTAAACCTATAGACAAATTTTGATTGAATTATAAATAAGAGTTTATATTATATACGACGGCCAAACAAAGGCTCTACAGAGAGACTGACATTTTCTGCTGTTTCATCATTATCACTTCATAAATTTGGCCCTCTTATTATTTATAATTCAATCAAAATTATGAGGTTTAAATTGTTAAAAGGTTTTTAGTAAATATATTATATTATATTCATTAGTATTTAAAATTATTTTAAATTTTTATAAAATATATCTATACATATGCATTTCTATAATAAAAATTTTTAAAAAATGTCACTAAAAATAATAATTTAAATTGAATAAATATAAATTATTCAGGAATTTTATATAATTTATTTTAAAAAATAACTGAAATTTTTATAATAAAATTTAATTAGGCAAGTATTGAAAAGCATTGAATTAATATATAATTATATTAAGTCTAAGTTTTTATATCATANTTTACATGATGTGATAATAATTTAGAGAATTAATTTTAGTTAAAATAATACTAGGAAATGATGGTTAATATTTCAGTATTTTACATGATGTGATATACATTAACATTAAGAAATATGCGTAAATTTTAATATATTTTGTTGTCATCTTAATTACTAATTACTTATTGTTAATTGAGTATGTTTCTTGCTGATATTTTTGATTTAACTCTTTGTGCCCTGTGAACACTGAGAGGGCCTCTTATGGCAAGCCCATTCGACCAATTAAATATAAAAAATATAATAAGTAAAAAAATATAATATAATATTGATAAAAAATAATAAGAAAGTACACCTGTAAAAATAAAAAGGTGTTAGATAGATGACCGACACGACTCTATTGTTAAAGGAAAAGTATGACGTACGGGGGCAAGCCACTATTAATTTGAGGTGGAGAGCATATATATTTTAAGTTAAACAAATGATTAAAAACTGCAGCTCGGCATTGTGACGATGTTACAATAAATAATAAATGCTAGTTTATAAAAAAAATTTTTTTTACTGTGTAGTGTAATACGAAACATAATGATTTTATTCTCATTATAATCGTATTTATAATGTTTTATTATTTATTTACAGTCTAGTAAAACTGTAATTGATGTAGCTACCGATCCAGAATTAAGAGGAATACAGTTAAGACGAACACAACCTTCAAGAAATAATCGCTTCAGTGAACTGTTAAGACAATCTCTGTGGCCATCCTCGAGTGCTCCCAGATTTCGAGTTACTCCTGTGGAAGAAGGACAATCTCAAGATTCGAGGCAAAGGCCAGGTTCTACAGTAAATATACAGAGGGAATCCAGTTGTTGATTACGTCACAATTATTTATAAAATAATGCAATCGGGGGTGAACCACATATTGCAACATATCTTAAAGTGATTCATGATGCATTTAAAAAAATAATCGTGAATTTTTTTATAATAAATATCATTGTATATATTACACAAAAATCTTTCTATTAAAGTAATAATAATTTAAAGAAAAATTCTTTGTTTATTTATAATAATTAAATATCTAATAATGACCTACATAATAAAAATATTCATGAATTTTGCATTGAGATTTTTACATTTTTGGACTTTGAAACCTCGAGAAATGCAGAAAAATTGGGTTTTTTTTTCTGTGTTTCGATGTTAGTGTGTGGGGGGGTTGCACGATTTTGTTCACTCAATTTGAAGTTTAACTCCTGTGTCATTTGTCGAAAATTTCTGAAATTTTGCAGAGAAACTTGTGTATTAGGGGATTGATACTATTAAATTTTGATGGTTAAAGGTAGAGGGAGGTCACGTGTATCATCTCGAGTAGGGTCGGAAATATTATGAAGATTTTACTTATTAGCATTAACAATGTTTTTATAAAACTCATCGCTACCCTCATCGCTAATTAAGCTTTTAGCCATTTTATAATAATTAATAATATAAAAAGTATTTTTAATAAAATCTCGTAACAGATGGCGCCTCCAAAATTTTAAATATTTTGCCGGAACGTTATGTAACTCGTTAGTAGTATAAATGAATCCATTTCAACAATAGAGAAAAACACCGTGGCGCCATCTGTTTATCTCAATTTTAACTATTGTCGTATTACAAACATTTCCTCGCTAATAATCCAAATCCACGATCCGCCTCCCCACACATCAATCAGAACAAAACATATTCGAAAAATAATTTAATAAAAATAAAGAATGCCGATTCAAATCGATCCAAGACAATCGAAACATGTTAATTTAATTAATGGTGTTTTGTTTTTCACTGCGAACAATTGACTTAATAAACTCATTTCAAATAATTCTTTTCGTGCCATTTAAACCAATCTAAGATAAATATAGAAATAAAATATATACAAATATATAAATCAACCAAATCTTTTAAAAATAAACCAGTAACGAGTTGCTCAACTTACCTGGCTATAAAATTTCCATTGTTGTCCAATCGCCTGTCCTTCCTTAATCTCGTGAACGGAGTTAGATACGTGAAATCCAAGACCAGATATAGAAACCTTTGGGGTAGAAGGCCCTGATTAACTATATACGAACTTCCGTTGCAAACCGAAAGTCACGTTATTTCAATTAAAAAATTTCCCTGTAAGGTGTTAGATGACCGGCACGACTCTATTGCTAAAGGAAAAGTATGCTTTACAGGGGCAAGACACTAATAATTTGATGTAGAGAGCACTTAGAAGTTTATCCTTGTCTAAAAACTGTAAGATTTGATAAGCATTTGCATTGATGAATAGAATCTCCTTCTGCAAATAAATATGCATTAGTTAAAAATAACTGATTTTACTTACAGTATCACACCTTTTCTCGTTTCCTTAATTCGTGTCTTCTCTCTTCTGTAATAATCTTTAAGCTCTCGAATTTTTTTTTTTTTTTTACTTCTTCAATGTTCCTCTCCACTTTTTTTGTGAGCTCGAACCGGGCATCTTCCTTTTTTTTCATTTATTAAAATAATAAACATGTGTCTGATTCCATAAAACTGTTTCTATATTCATGCCTGCCAGTGGCCGAGTGGATAAAACCCCCGAAAACTGAGAATTGATAGTGGGTTCGCGCCTCAATAATGGGCTGGCCACGTGTTTTCCGGGTTTTCTTCACGTTAATAATACCTAAATATGGGTCAGTCTCTTATAAAAGACCTTACGGGAGGCATCGCCCATGTGTTGCGTTGTCATATACGAATAAAGCTAAACAAACACATTCACAACGTACACGAATTTCCTTTGATGGATCGCTCCGAGACACGCGGAGAACAATTGGAGCCCATTCCTAGTGTATGAAGATGGATCGCTCCGAGACCTCGCGGAGAACAATTGGAGCCCATTCCTAGTGTATGAAGATGGATCGTAGATTTGGACTATTAGCGAGGAAATGTTTGTAATACAACAATAGTTAGAATTGAGAAAAACAGATGGAGCCACGTCGAAATCCCTTCACTACCTTTCTTGTTATTGTAAAATAACAAATCGATTCCTGAACAACCTGTACTGTACTGTACTGTACAAAGACTTTAACCTCGTGGGCCTTATATACATAAGGTCGTTTCTTTGCCATCTGATATGCAATTTTTAAATTTAAAATGGTTTATTATTTGTACACAAAATACTTAAAATTGCTCGTATTCTGTTCTTTCTTAAATCATGTTGACTTTTAATAACGTTTTTTTTTTTTTTCCTTTAGTGCTAATCTATAAAGTGTGTTGCCCAAATAAGTATTTAAATACCAAAATAAATGTAGACAATCGCCTGTCATTCGAAGAATTTTTCCACACAGCAACCCATCTGTGAAGAGTGAAGATACTACAGTATCTTCTACTGGCTAGCAGCAGCATACGTGTTAACACGTCATCTAAGCCTTATTAAGAGCCAGGCCTTGTTAAGGGCAATCTACCTTACTGCAAACAAAATAAATTTATGTACTGTATTTACATTCAGCACATTTTTGTTATGTACGAAGTGTTGAATGACTAACAGTTAAAACTTTTACATTTCTAAAATTAACTACACGTGTCTTCACGCTTCATCAATACACAGATAAAACCTAAATTCGAAAACCGTATGATTATAAATATAAAGATTATATTTTTACTAATCGGTGTGAGAAAGATTTTACTAATTGTAATCTTCTCACTGTAAAATAAATCAGAAATCTTAGAATTTATATGTATCAGGTAAGATATTTCTCTACACAGTCGACCTCCCTATAACACTGTTGATAATTCCATTTTATATGAATTCAATGTTATACGAGTCACTTAGATTTTACAAATACGTGAGCCGTTCACAGCCCGGCACACGTATTTGTAAAATCTAAGTGACTCGTACAACATGGAATTCATATAAAACGGAATTATCAACAGTGTTATAGGGGGTCGACTGTATTAAGAATTTATAAGTAGATCTAGGCCTATATGTATTTTTAAAAATAACAATATAACAGAGAAAAAATAAACAATATCGTATTTCGTGAATAAGCAAAAATGATGACATTATACTGTAAAATATCATCATCATCATCATATGATAATTTTCATATAAAAAAAGATGCTGGCAAAGATTCTTACTCGACTTTCCTGGCATTCGAACAGGAGGTTAAGGGGACCCTTAAGAAATCCGATAATTTTTAATTATACTACGACATAAATAGTAACAAAAGATTAATAGTAGTAGTTTTGTTGAATCGTATATGATGCCATTTGATAAATATTATTTTAAAAATATCTTTTATACTATTAATTATTGTAGAAAGACAAAAAAGCTTAATATTGAGAGGAGAGATGAATTTTTAAAAATATTGTAAATGCCAATAATGCGTACAATTTTCATTAAGTCTCGAATGGATTCTGACTTAATGAAAATTTCTGACATGGTTCCCTCTATCTTTCCACTCTATCGAGTACCGTACTCCAAAATTTAACAGCATCAATATCCCTTATATACAAGATACTGTGCTATTTCGTTTGTAAATCTTTACCCCATAATGAGATATTAAACGAAATAGATGACAACGCATGCACTTACAGGCACACGCATATCCCAGGAATCTCCCCCCTTTTTGACTTTTTGGGTTCACGGAATCTCAAAACATCGAGATTTGCAAAAACCCAGACGGTCAAATTTTGACAAATTACAACACTTTTTCAGTGTTATATACGTAGCAGCCGGGAAAATAAAAGTGGCAAGTGCGAGCACTCACTCAACACTCAAATAAATATCAGTATGCATTTTGTCAACTAATGTTACTGAACTAAAATCACTGTTGCACTCTAGGCTTTATAGGTTAAAAAAAAACAAATTGCCATACTATCCAGCATGGTGCTGTTTGTTTGTTTGTTTAGTTAAGTTACGGTAACGCAACACTTAGGCGATCTGCAAAGAAGGATGCATTCCGGGGAGATCTTTTTAAGGGTAACTGGTCCTACAGACGTGGAGAAAACCCAGAAAACTTCACGTGGACAACCCGTCCTGACGAGACTCGAACCCATGAAACAGGTTCTGTTCACAGAACAGAACCACTTGCCACTGGTGCTGTAATATGATACTTTAAAAATTTTGTAAAGTGCTGTAAAGTAAAAATTTAAAAGATAAATGAGAGGAACTGTTTTATAAGTTTAAATTAAAACATTTAATGTTTTTGTCTTTAATATATAAAAATTAAATACAGTAGAGCATCGATTATCCGACCCCGGATTAACCGTCACATCGGTTAACTGACCGTTCTAGTCGGCAAATTTCAAATGTCCGCTAGTGATATGGCACTACAATATTTGGCTATATGTCTTGGCTACTTAATATAATTTTTGTTAAATTTTTGCGTGTTTTAGCTGGCAACACTGGCTCGACCATTGAAGGGAGGCCAGTATTTAAAAAAGACTTATTTTTTTCTGATTATGAATGGTTGTTTGTTTTGTGAGCAATAAAATAATTTAAAAATAATTTTTAACGATACAATAGCGACGATTATTATTAAAAAAAAATTGCTAGGCTGAACATCGATGAAAATTCAATGCGAAGTTGGTTAATAGCGATATACTAATATAGTAATTACATGGGATATACTAATATACTATACTATACTAATAATGTATTTTTTTATGTTTTGTGAGCAATAAAATAATTTAAAAATAATTTTTAACGATACAATAGCGACGATTATTATTAAAAAAAAAATTGCTAGGCTGAACATCGATGAAAATTCAATGCGAAGTTGGTTAATAGCGATATACTAATATAGTAATTACATGGGATATACTAATATACTATACTATACTAATAATGTATTTTTTTAATTTTTTCGGTTATCCGATTTTTTCAGTTATCCGACCAACCTGAGTTCCCAATTGAGTCGGATAATCGATGCTCTACTGTATACGCGAAAAGCTATAAAAATAAATATTTGGCTTCAAAGAATTATTACGTGTCTAACATTTTTTTTTACCGAATTTACCGGTAAAATTATAAAATTACAAGTATATTTACCGATGCACTTTTTATCTAATTTCAGGTAATGCAATCCTTAAGTTAATTTCATTTCAATTAGCGACTGAATAAAACAACTGAAGGTAGTTTGCACTGGTCGTGGGTTCGAATCTGACCAACGAGCTGTCCACATGGAGTTTTCCTTTACGTGTCAAATACCTAAATATAGGCTACTGTCCTATAGAAAGTCCTCTAGTCCTCCAAAGAGGAATTCTCCTTGGCAGATTGCCCATGTGTTGCGTTGCCTTATTTCATCAAACCAACCGAATCAAACCATTTGATTCAGAATATTCTAATATTCGTAGAATATTAGAATATAGAAAGAGCCATTCAAAATGTTCTAACAATTAATTAAACCCTATGGCCGGATGACCGAGCGGTTAGGACGGCAGCCCCACTACTCTGGGGACTGCTCTATCCAATAGCTAAAACAATTTTAAAATTCGTATAACGTATGTAGATGAATGTTCTTCTGCCTTCATTGCAATTGAGTTTTCTCACACTCACTGGAAAATTCTATTCACCCCATTGTTATTATGTAATTGTTTTATTTATTTGGCTTTAAAGTCGGTTAAGATTTTTCCATATTTAAAACTCTTCTGTAATATTCTCTAATGACATACTTTTTAAGTTTGTGACAGTCGCAAGACATATTTTATTACTGAAATTATGAAATATATATTATATTATATTACTATTAGTTGGCTATATTATTATAGTTTTGAAATTATTAAAAAATATATATATATTAACATTTTTGCATTTTGACATATATTTTTCCTTATTAATATTATGAAAAGAATAATTCTGATATTTTATAATCTTCATTGCGTAATTAATTTTAGAAAAAATTAGTAGTTTTTTTTTCTAATATGATAATGTGGATAATACTTAGTCTCTTGCAAACCTCGACATTCAGCTACGTTTCGGACAAGTATGTAAATGATTATAGTTGTGTTCCAATTGCGCTTCGGGCAGTCATACTAGAGTGCTTCAAAATCGCACCCAGTATCCTATAAAAAGGCTCGTACAAGCTTACTCCAATTCCGCCTTTGCTGGGGTGCTAATTTTAGAGCTGTCTAATATAACGGCGGGTCATTCCTAGAAGTGATACGACGGATATTGGCGACACAGTCGAGCATTCACGCTTATGTATTGCTTTTCATGTCAGATTGTAAACAACCATTTTCAGTAAGACAACACTTGGCTGCACACAACTAGGATTTCGCAGGAATGGCTCCATCACGTTGTCACACTTTCTTGGCCTGCCTGGTCTCCAGATTTATTTTCTTTCAAACATTTGTGGGACCATTTACGAGTATGGGTGATCTGGAACGGAAATTACATTTATGGGTAAATTTTTCGCAGAATATCATACAGTGCTTGTATGCCCTAAAATCGAGTGATACGATCGATCTCTTATTCAGGATATATCCAGTTCTTGCCTCTTGGATATATCCTGAATAAGAGGAAGTCTTCCAGAATTGTACATAATATTGTAATCATTTATTACCACCTCATTAAGTGCACTTTAATGTTTCATTCAGTTCCTTCTTTTATCATTTTATTCTAGCTAAAGAGTCCAAGAAAAATACTAAATTACAAGATATTTTTGATGGAATTTAGAACTAACAAAAGTTGTATTTACGTTGTATAGACTAAAAAAAAACAATATTTATATTAAAAATGCTGCCAGTTTATTCAGTTAAAAATATACATTTTATTAATAATTAAACTGAAATTATTTAAATTAAAGCATAGAAAAGAATGGAAAAATTACTTTCATAATGCAAATGAATTTTTTTACACTTACATAGCTTAACGAGTAAAAATTCAACTGAATCTTATATTTTTGCAAGAATTGCTACCTTGTACAATTTAAATAAATAACGTAGATGTATCGTTTCTTAACTAAAGATAAGTTCTATTTTTATATCATAAAACTACGTGGTATTACGTCGTAGATTAAAGTCAACATATGGTAAACAAGTATGCATTATACAGATGTGAATGCTAATATGATTTAGTAGGAAATGATCTCGTGATTATTATCAATTTAATGAAATTCGATCGGGTTGTGTGCATAACAACTTAAAAGAAAAGGAAAAAAAAAACCTGATTAAAATTCAATGTTGCAATGCGATTTGACAACCGTTTGAAATCCGAAAGCACAACCGAATCAATTGTCATCCTCTGCATATCATGTTTTATGACATTTTGGCAGGTCAATATTTACAAAGCAAAAGTGACGTTGAATGACGTTGTGTGTCATTCACTAGGGGACTATATATATTAGTTATTAATAGATATGGCACTTATTAAATGCATCCTATAGTTTGACAAATGATTCCATTCAAATATATTTACTAGATTTTGTTCACCTGTACAATTAACATTAAATTTGCATATTTAAAATTACTAAATTTAAACTATAAGTAATCATAACTAGAAGTGTAAGAATTAACTATATTTGAATTTTTTTTTAACTTGTATGCAATATGACACTTCGAACAGATTTAAAAACTGTAATTAAATTTTTTACTAAAATGACATTATTACAAGAGTCTGACACATCATAAAGTGACTTACAGGACAGATGATGCAATTCGTATATTGCTTCGTCACTTGTGTCGTCTTTAGCACTTTTCTCTCGCTTGCAACCGCACGGATGAGAACTGTAACCAATTTCAAGATATGTCACGTTGTTCCCAATATACTAAATACATTAGATCCGCTCGGTTTACTTTAGGTCAGTTTGTTTTTTAATTCTGCCGTGTAACCATAATGTATGCAATTCTTCCACGAAGTATTTTCTTATTACGTCAAAGATACGTTTGACAGAGTCATTTACTGATCCGCTTAACGGAGCACATCATCTTCAAAAACAACATCGTTAAGTACTTCTTATTAAATTTATACCATATTTTAACTACTAATATTAAGATAGATTAATGTATCTTTTGAAACCTTTGATAATTCTAATTTATAGATATAATTCAAAATATCTATTTACCAGTTTAAAATACTTGAATATTGTATTTTTCTATTCGAAATTAATCAACCCTCTTATGTATATTATCTAGAATTTTATTGGGCGGAAAACAACTCTAATGATGTTCTATCATTCGGATAAGTTCACTCTTCATAATTAAATGATAATACAATTTACTTATTGATACTCGTTATCGAAACGATTTATTATCATCGTGCCTTAAGGATCAATTACAGAGATAAAGAAAGGATATTTATAAAAAAAAAAACAATAAAACAAAAATCTATAAAATATGAGGTTTAACCGAAGTAGATATATGCAATTTAATTAAATTGGCATGCAAAAATTCAAGATTTCCACATTTAAAACTCCATTTTCCATTAAATTTGAACACTTTCTCATTAAACTTGACACGATATCAAGTCCGAGCTTAAACACTCGAGCTTTGACACGATATTAAAGATTATTAGGCTGGTTGCTACGCTTCTCAAAAAAGATGAAGTAACTTATAGCATAATACTATATACAAGTCGACCCCCCCTATAATACTGTTGATAATTCCGTTTTATATGAGTTTCATGTTGTACGAGTCACTTAGATTTTACAAATCCATGAGCCGTTCACAGCCCGTATTTGTAAAATCTAAGTGACTCGTACAACATGGAATTCATATAAAACGGAATTATCAACGGTGTTATAGGGGGTCGACTGTAAATGTAAAAATCAGTCCACTAAATTTCCTATGATCACTTCAGTTTCTCGCTAAATATATTGGAAATCCATTACCTTATTGATTAATAGTCCAAGTTGTGTTTTGCTGCATCATTAATATTTGACGCCACGCTGTTAAATTCGTTTATGTGCCATTGAATTCACATTACTTCCAATAACACGGAAAAACTCCTTAATCCGAACCATATACAGTGTATTTTGGATTACCGAGACTGTATCGTGTATATTTCTAGTTAACCTGTATACATGTAAGTGCAATCAACAAGGCCTTGTATATTTTGATATGTTAATTTAATATCACATTTTTGGCTTTTATATATATAGTAGGGCCTATAGGTCTTTTTTAACTATTAAAATATAAACATTAAATTACATATTTAATTATATTATGTTTTTAATAGGCCTATAAATTAAATTAATTTTAAGTTCATTCTTTAGCATAAATCAGAAACATTTTAGGACTAAACGTCGACTTTGAATATGTATTAATTATATAAATTATTTAAATTTTTAATTGCTTATAAAATGTGGTAAAATATACGCATGTAACAGACTAATTACTGACTATAAATGCATAAAAGCATTGTATAAGAGTGGAGCATAAAACTATTAATGCCCAGTAAAGTTGTGAAGATAACAATTGACGTCATTTATCAATGATTCTACGCAATTAATTATTTAAGAAATTATTTGATCATGCAAGCAAAGGTATTATAAGCGATATAGATTCAGATTTTATTACTTTTATTATATAGATATTTAAAATGACGACGAATTGGTTCGGTTAATTTGCTGAGGGAGGTGATTCCTCTAGAGAGGTCTTTTGTTACCCCCTATTTAGATGTTACTAATGTAAAGAAATCCCGAAAATTTTCACGTAGCCAGCCTATTAACCAAGCGCAATCTCACCACCAGTGTTCAGTGGTTTTATAAGTACGATATTACAGGTCTCGTATGCAATATCTTTAAAATGTTATTACAAATTTCTCACTGCACAGAAATTTAATTAACATTTATATGCATTAATTTTAACATCATTTCTTAACGCTATTAGAATATTAACATGACTGTCAAATCGTATACGATGTTTTATGGCTGTCTCATTTTACACATTCATAAAAAAAAACTATGGGTTGTAAGTTATCTGTAGAAAATTACTAATCATCTGTAATTCATATAGCATAAGGAAATTTTTAGATTATTCGATACATAATTTATCCTTGAATATAACTTTAATATGAAGCAGTATAGGCCTTAGTATTCTATCTCTCTGAAGAGTCGGACATTCAGAAATTATCTTATTAATCAGTTATTATATCAGTCTTTCATATAATTTACTGAGGTCACAACCTCAAATATAAATATAAAATATAATATAACATATAGTATATGCATATTAAGTGCTTTCATTATGTACTCTTATTACATAGAATTAAATAAATTAGTTAAAATCTGTCTATCTGTCTTGCTTAAATTTATTTTTATCTATAAATCACAAATGTCATGACATAATATCATCTTTATAATGGCTCAAAGTAACCTGAAAGGCATCTAAGTAAATAAACAAAGCAATAATGTATAAATAAATAAAATTCTATTGAAATTCTACATATAATTTCATAAATTTTTCTAAGCCACTAGAGAGGAAAAGCAGTATTATATGATTTGAATCGTAATTTCATATTATATTCAACTTCAAAAATACCGTACTGTACATGAAGTTGCAATGACAACGCAACACTAAAAATATTACCTACGTTCGTATTTTTATATAAATTCGAACATATTTAATTGGATTTATAATAAATAACATTATATAAAATGAAAAACATCTTATATTTTTAAATTTATTTAATCTAAAGCCAATATCACACTATACTCCTTACTATGATGCAAACTAGTATTGTATATAACTACACGTATGTAAATTGTAGTTGAATGTTTAAGATGTACGAAAGTACCTTGAGGTCCAACTTTAAACAAAACCCTAGATTACTTATGCCTAAAACTTTCCCTGGTAAACAGGAAACACTACAAAAACTACATTACATATTGACCTTTAACGTATGATAAAGAATATAATAAATATAAATTACAATTAAATTAAAATAAAATAATTAAATTACTGTTTATTTAGATATAATAGAGAGATGACATAGTATTTTATTATATAAAGTTAGTATTTATTATAACTTACTTTAAAATATTAATTTGTATGTAATTTTTCAAACTAAATATAAAACAATGATAATAATTTGTTTCCTTCGCTGAATACGAGATAAATAATCAATATTAAAATTTTTATAATTGTTATAAATTCATTGATTTAATATTTTTAAATAGATTATGAAAGAGAAAAGATAAATTAGGAAAACTTCGTATCATCTTCAACGTGATTGGCAAAGAGTTTTTCCGAATCATCCTATCAGCGGAGATAGTGTATATGACGACGAATGTATTAAATATAATGAAACAAACATCTTGAAGGAGATTCATAATATTATTCGCCATGTCTGGAGTCTGGTATTGCGTTTGCATCCCAACTGAGAGCCACGAACAAAAATTATATTTTTTTGATACTCCCGAAGAGAAGAATAAACACGAAAATCAAGGTAATTACTTTTATTATTATTATTATTATTATTATTATTATATGTACTGTATATAGCTAAGGATAAGATATATTTATGCCCCGCAAGCTTAGATATTATATAACTTATATTAAGAATAGTCCTAGTGTATAGAAACATAATATCAAATGCTTGTAATTGTATTCAAAATATTCAATTGTTGTTTATATTTGATGGAAAAATTTTGATTTTGGAAAAGTTTTTATTTACTTTAAGAAAACATGGATAAGGTTGAGATTGAATTTGTCGTTTAAATTCAATCTTATCCTAATAGACTTTGGTATCAAAAGCTTGCCCCCACTTGTGTATTGCGGTAGATAATGAACAGGTAATTGTAAAGTAATCGCTGTTTTCCGATAAGTCAATTACGTCAATGCTTTTTTTTTTTCTTTACTTTGAATTATTTTTGATACTAACAAACAAGGAATTGTTCCAACTCAATAGTACTGTATCATTTAAACTCGATTTTTAAAAAAGTCCTATGTAAATGTCTTACGTTGCAATAGAACTATAAATAAATACAGATTATTGTGCAGTTTTATTTGTAAGTTTTCTTTAAGAAGTTTATGAATTAAATTAACAAGAGAAATGTTTTCTAAACTCTGATGAAGCTGCAACTATTTAACACTAAACTCGTAAGATATACCATTGATGAATTACAAATGCTTTGCACCCTGTCGATTTTTATGGCATGTCCTCAAATATCGCTACTGTGTTGAAATGTAATTTGGCAATCGGTAACTTATCTGCAATTTTTCGTGCAATTGCTCCTGCTGTACGCTTATTTATTGCTATATCACTTGCGATTATGAAATGGGTCATCTCTAATCATCATCTTTTAATAGCTAAATGTGTTTTTGATTGGATACAAAACATTTATAATTTTTATAAAATTAGATTCTTCAGACTTATTTATAAACATAAATTCATATTATTTATTCTTTTTATTGCTTATTATTTTATGAATGTGCAAGTTAGTGTAAAATGAGTATTAATAAGAGATTATTACTTAATGGGGTTATATTTAAAGTGAGAAGATAGTATTACATAAATGAAACATTAATTGCATTTCTATTATGCAGGCTTATATGCAAATCATCTTAAGCTTAAATTAGACTGTGTAGATTATATATACATATTTCATACTATAATCTTTAACCTATATAAAATTTGTATGATTAAGCTAATTCTAGATTGTAAAAGTTATATAATTTTATATATATTCTAACGGCTATACTAATAATTAATGCAGTATAAACTCATACAATAAGAAAGGAAAAGCGTTCTAAATTAAATTCTCTTTACATTATACAAGATAAATATTCAGTGTAAGCTTACTCGCGAAATAAAGAAATCAGCTTAAGTTTCGAGGAGACAACTTGTGAATAATTGGATATTTACATAAATAAATGCATTAATTTCAAAATATTTATATGCTTGTTAGTAACGATACTCGGTTAATTATAAAGCAATTTATTTTAATTAGATTTGGTTTTCCCAGTTTTATTTTCGAATAAAAACACTTTCCGCTCCTTAGTTTTTTGCACATTCAGCATATTCAAGAACGTCAATGAAAAATTAATAGAATCCTTTCATAACATTTCTAAGTATTATTTAATTCTTTCTTTCTCATCTTTTCTAGAAACGATTCTAATTTAAAATTTCTTTAAATCAAAAGCACTTGAATAGAGTTAAAATAATTCTAATAAAGTTTATTACTAATCCAAATCTATTTTATCTTCATCTTAAACTACATAATGAAGTTTACATTTGTTATCATTATAACTCTTTTATCAATTTTTATTGACACGAAATCAATGTCAAATTTTGATATATATATATATATATTAAGTNTATGATCTCGTTATTTATAGATTCTCTCTAGACTTTTTTTTAAATTTAGTAGAAATTTATAGCCTAATAAGAAAAGAGTATTTGAGACCGATCGTTACCAAAGCCTCTTGTATGTGGCTTATATAATTTCGTTCGTTCTCAAAATTTCATTGATCGATTTTGATAAAACTTTGACATTTTTCATTAATTGAGACGAGAAATCTAAAAAATATAATAAAAATGTGAATCTACGATTTTGTTTTGAAATACAGTGGGGTCAATGTGACAATGCTCGTGCTTTCTGAAGCAATTGAGCGTGCCTAACGGAAAATGTGCACGAAAAACGAAAAATACACAATAACAAAAATATCGACGTCGATTGCTTTGTTATTGGATCACCTTTCTGTGTTGATCAGTACCAGGATCGCTTTTACCATGGCCGGCACGTGCAAGGATCTCTTCCTTCTTAGACGGCAAATGCAAGGTTCTTTTCGTCGTGGCTGGAAGATGCAAGAATACAGCCTCTTCTCTTGGCTGCTATTCTTGCAAGTGCAGGAATTGTTTGTCCACGCAAGAATTCTCTTCCGTGCCTAGCAACTGTAAGGATTGCCTCTCTCGTGTTCAACAGATACAAGGATTGCTCCTTTTTTTCTGGCTCCTCTTCAATTCTTCAATTCGTCCGTAGTAAATATTAGGCTATAAATGTAGCCTAATTTACTACGGACAATAACAATAATACTTTTATTCATCAATGAAATGCTTTTTATACGATTAAAAAATAATGAGTAATGACACAAGTTTTGAAGTGTATGTACAGTACAGTATAATCAGGATCATATTCATCCATAACAGGGCCCTTGGGTTTTAGGTTTTTCGATCCTCCTCCGACACTTCAGTATGTCACTTCACTACAGTGACAGCCTTAACAGCTTGTATTTCGGTCTGTTATCTGGTATGGTAGGTACTAGTTATCTGTTATCTGGTTTTCCGGGCCTTAGGCGCGTGCCTAAGGCCCGGAAAACGATCCTGTATATAATTTGTATCCAGCCATCAAGGACACAAAACGATCTTATACAGATTAAAACAATATAAAAATAGGTCAATTATTCAGTATAATCACATTTAACCTGTTTTACGTGTACTGATAATGTTCAATCAATTTCCTATTATGTAAACAGTTAAGAAACTTATTTAGATTCCACTTGACATTTCTTTCGATCTGTCATGTTAAACATGCTTTCATAAATAATAATTTAATTTATATATTATCTCCTTTATATATTGGACTAAATGAAATTCTAATTACACATTAGATAAATTATCAATATAAATTTATATAAGAGCATTACGCTTATGAACTTATTGGGCAGGTTTCTTTAATTTTCTTATCTGAAACTCTCTTAAATATAATTTAAACATTATATAACGTTAATTAAAATAATTTAATATTAAATGAATTTTACATAAAGATAAAAATATTGTAAATGAGACGAATAATTTCCTACGATAAAATTTACGAGTTATTTCCGAGTTGCCAAACAAGCATTAAAAAAGACGATAGACGACGACCTTCGTACGAATCTTCCATAAAACCATTAAATCGTAAAAATATGCCGATAATTTCAATAGTGTTATCAACAACGAGAAATAACTCTGCTGGAGACTTTCTATTGAAAATTCTCCGATAAGAATATTTCAAAACTTATTACAGTTTCGTTTCCTAATAAGTCAATTTTAATTGGACATGCATAATGTAAGGGGGTAATTTTCTACGAGAGAGAGAGAAAGCGATCACTATATATGTACTGTACAGTATAGACAATACAACATACAACAATGCAACATACACAAGTCACAATAGTGTTGTGTTGTACGTTATATACATACAAAAATGTATCATATGTATTATTATTTGTGTATTATCTATATATATAGAGACTATACAACACATTATTGTATGCACAGTATATATAACACTACACACGCATTGATGATGAAAAATTTGGTGATTGTTTTAGCATTTTTATTATTAATTTTTCATTGATAATCTTTTAACTATTTACTATCTTTTAGCAAAGTTCAAGCACCCTTTCTCATTGCAAAATAGAGAAGTAGAGAGACCATCTTGGGCATTTAAAACGATAATTATAGAAATATACTAATAAAACTACGCAATTAATGTGATAAAATAGTAAAACATTTCGAGGAAAATTGTTTATTTTACTCAATGACCGAGCAGGTTTATTTATATTTACTGAAGACTTGTAAAGACTGCAAAATTCTATCGTAATTTTTAAATGTGATTGAACTATACTTACAACAATATATCATTATTGTATAATTTTTTAAATATAGAATAATATGAATAATCAAAGTTTTCTATTACTTAAACATGCAATAGAATAAATAAAAATAAAAATTATTAACTTTTAAATCATAATTCAAGACTTGATAGCTGTATAATATATTAAAGAATTTTTATTTATTTTAATTAGTATTTTGATGAACTTCCATTAATTTAAATTAGTGGGATTTTATAAGAATATGTTTTAAATGAAATTCTTTATTTTATTAAATAGAAATGTATAAAAAAGGTCGAGGGTGTTATTATTTATCACTCTTTCCCAGACAGTGAAAGCGATCTAGAATTATCAATGCAAAAACAAAGAAATCTCTTGCATAGAAGAGAAATGATTATATATTTATCTCAAGAATGTGAAAATGATAACTTTTTATTCATAATAATTGCATATCTCGTATGATAAAGACAAAATTACTTAATTCGGGAAACATTTTCGGCCTTTAATCAGGCCACCCAGAGGCGGATCCAAGAGGGGTTCAGAGGTGTCAGAGGCTTTCTCACTGACACTTATTATTAATTCAAATATTTTAATTTTTGAATTAGCCCCCCTTCTTTGAATTTTGATCATCTACTGGCCGCCATCTTTATAAATCAAGTAGTTTTTCTGCTATGTTTTATAACATTTCCTTGGTCAGAATAATTATTTTCTTATAAAATAAAATTATAAACACAATATTTTTTAATTAGATTTATATTACAGTATTTAAAGTATAGAAAATTTATGTTTAAATTATTCTAATATTTACAGAAGTTACAAAATTTTATGTTATACAAATATTTAGTATAAATTATATTTTATTTTAAAAATAAATTTATAATTTATATCATTTATATAGAAAACAAAGGATACCAAAATGGAAATATACTGAATAATAACAATAAAATTTCTCAGGATTCGTGTGTTATTCAGTTAAACGAAAGTAAAAAGGATGATCTAAAAAAAGTTCCTTTGGATGAGGATGATGAAGATGCTCCTTTAGCACAGGTAAATTTAAACGATAATACAAATAAAAAAAGAATTATTTTAGTACATTTGTTATTGAATTAAAAGAGAAAAACAATGCAAAAGATTCAAGATTGTAAATATAGACTAAGATCTTAAGTAATTCGTATCTTTTAAAAATAAAATAACAAACTGTACTGTATTTAAATCTGCTGCTTAACTTTTGTTAAGCACATTTATCATATGAGTAAAATTTAAGGACACTTTTCCTCAAGATAAATCCATTATAAATAGATTAAAAACTATGTTACAATATGAAAATGTTCAATTTATATTCAGGCACACATCGGATTATTACGATATAGTCTAATGTTACATAACCACGGATTAAATACTATATGTCGAGAGTTAAATGTTAAATTACCGTAATTAATAATACAGTCGACCCCCTATAACATTGTCGATAATTCCGTTTTATATGAATTCCATGTTGTACGAGTCACTTAGATTTTACAAATACGTGAGCCAGGCACAGAACGGCACACATATTTGTAAAATCTAAGTGACTCGTATAACATTGAATTCATATAAAACGGAATAATCAACAGTGTTATAGGGGATCGACTGTACTAAAAATACACCTATCTTAATTTTTATTTTGTTAGAATAAGAGCATTTGATGCTGTTTCATAACATGTTTTATTAAGATATAATTAATTTTTTTTGTCTGGATGATTTTATTTAGTTATTAAAACAATGCCTGGACAAACTAGAAATTCAAGATGCAGTATGGAGTACCAACAAAGAAAACACTTATCACCAGGTTTTGAATTATATTTTAAGCTTTTAATTTACATATTAAAATAGGATTACGAAATAATCTTTTTTTTTTAAATTCTGGCAGATTTATTTTCCTTGCGGCCCCGGGATAAGATCAGATTATGTGCTAAGAACATTAATGGAGAAAGGAATTGGTGTACGTTCTGGATCTACAATTGGGTTGGTATATAAAGTAAATGTTAAGTTAATATTTAAAAATAAATTAAATTAAAAAATGTAAATGATAATTTAATCTTTTTAGAGTTGTTCCTTGCGCTGTCTTTTATCGAGACGAAGATTTAGATTCAGATGAAGCAATTTCTTCGGATGAAGAACCAGAAACGTAATTCTATAAATAAAATCATCGCGCTTAATTTATTATATAAACTAAAAGATCTTTATTATTTATTTGAGTTATATATCATCTACAAATTTATGAATATAACCTACATTTTATATCATATATCTTTGTGTAATTTAGAAATCATAAACACGATTTTTTTTTACGTTAACAACAACAAAACCTTGGCATAATAAATTAAGTTTATGAATAAAAAAACTGTAAATTTTACCGGTACTTTTATATAAAAAAATTTTATAAATTGAATTATATATTCTGAATGACCTTAAATTATTTAAATTTATTACATTTTATGAAATGTATGCATAAAAATTATATATCGTATGTTACACGCGTTACATTAGCCTATGTGAACTTATATAAAAGATGCCTTGATAATCAATGCTTACCTGAGGCCTCAAATAACAAAGCCACCACTGGATAGAGATTAAATATTATAGTATTTAACTATTTACTATNCCTGAATCACCCAGTTAATATAGTCCTTTCCTTTTCCTCCCATGCTAAATTTAATTCTAAAAGCATCACAGAATTCTTCCTCAGAGTAGTTTGTGCTAAGAGTGTCGTTCTGCCTGTATATGATAAAAGGTAGTTCTTCTCTGCTAACATGAGTAGGGACAGAGTAGATTGAGATATGCGGCAGGCGTTTTTTTGGCTTTTTAACAGATATTTCTGGGATTTGTTCCTCTATGTATTGCTGGAGTTTGTTGGCATCATCAAGTTTCTTTAGTTCTATAGCTACTCCTCCTCCCGTAATATTTCTCATTCTATCGACTCCGATTCTGAGCTGAGATGGTTTTATCTTGTCATGTATAATTTTCCTCAGTTTGTTACAATTACTTACCTCCCCGTTTTCATAAAGTAATAAGACCTCTGGGTTAGCATTCAAAACCTGAGGTCTGGTTAGAGGGTTGATGGTTTTTCCAGATTGTAGTACAGCAGAATAAGTTTTCTGTGGTGGAATCTCCATGGCGTTTTGTGTACAGAGCTGCTCCACTTTTTCTTTAACAGAAATCTGGTTTTCAAGGATTTCTTTTAGTGGGCCCTCCTCAACAAGCCTGTCGAGTTTCCCTGACAAGCCATCCACCTGAGTAATGGGTGCATCAAGATCTAGCTTGTCCACCATATACTCTACGCCGTTCTCTATTTTTTTATTGCTCTCGGTGATTTTATCAAGTTTTGTGTTCACATCCTGAAGCATGTGGCACAGTTTTTGGTAGTTATCCTCCAATTTATCATGAATTCCCTCAAGTCTTCCACTCCTAATGGGGCTTGATTTTGGGGGATGCAGGACAGGCATAGGCGGTGTAGCTTCTGCAATGAGGATATCGTTGAGTTTTTGGTATGGTGTCGAGTCCCCTCTCGATGTGTTAGAGGTTGGGGGTGAGAGAGTTTCCTGTCCACCTCCAGAGTCCATGCACTTACTTGGGGATAAACAATTCTTTTTAATAGTGGCAGCGGCCAGGTCAATAATCTTTTCAATTTGGCCACTAATGTATTTGACGTTTTGAGCAGTGCTCATACGTTTGTAGGATTTTTTAGTGCAAAATCCTTTTGTTTCGTCGGCAATTTTGTAAGCTTGCTCCAAGAATGAGTCCAATATTTCCGCTTCCATAGTATCTTGGAGTAGTAGAGAAGGGGAGCAAAATAACAAATCCAACCAGGCAGGTAAAGTGTGCACAATAAAACACTAGTGTAGAAAAGGTGCCCAAGAATTTCAAAAGGTCCCCCGATGAGTAGCTCTAAATACAAGAGCGTAAACCAGGTAGGTTGCGCGACGCACTGGTCCAAACATCACACAGACTATCACCGGTCCAAAGTTAAAACCTGACGCACTAGTGTCGAACCCACAGCAACACCAGAATTGATCAAGTCAGATGCCTACTAAGGGTCCACTGTGTGTTGGCGGAGGCCAAGCAAACTTGGCCTGTGGCAACACAGAGCTAGCTGCCTGACTGCTGGCTGGTAATGCCTCCAAAAGCGAACTGGCCAGCTGGGAAGACCAGTCTGCTAGATAGCAGGTCTCCCCAACAAAAAAGAACAGATAAAGTCAATTAATAATACAGTCGACCCCCTATAACATTGTCGATAATTCCGTTTTATATGAATTCCATGTTGTACGAGTCACTTAGATTTTACAAATACGTGTGCCGGGCTGTGAACGGCTCACTAAGTGACTCGTATAACATTGAATTCATATAAAATTGAATTATCAACAGTGTTATAGGGGATCGACTGTACTAAAAATACACCTATCTTAATTTTTATTTTGTTAGAATAAGAGCATTTGATGCTGTTTCATAACATGTTTTATTAAGATATAATTAATTTTTTTTGTCTGGATGATTTTATTTAGTTATTAAAACAATGCCTGGACAAACTAGAAATTCAAGATGCAGTATGGAGTACCAACAAAGAAAACACTTATCACCAGGTTTTGAATTATATTTTAAGCTTTTAATTTACATATTAAAATAGGATTACGAAATAATCTTTTTTTTTTAAATTCTGGCAGATTTATTTTCCTTGCGGCCCCGGGATAAGATCAGATTATGTGCTAAGAACATTAATGGAGAAAGGAATTGGTGTACGTTCTGGATCTACAATTGGGTTGGTATATAAAGTAAATGTTAAGTTAATATTTAAAAATAAATTAAATTTAAAAATGTAAATGATAATTTAATCTTTTTAGAGTTGTTCCTTGCGCTGTCTTTTATCGAGACGAAGATTTAGATTCAGATGAAGCAATTTCTTCGGATGAAGAACCAGAAACGTAATTCTATAAATAAAATCATCGCGCTTAATTTATTATATAAACTAAAAGATCTTTATTATTTATTTGAGTTATATATCATCTACAAATTTATGAATATAACCTACATTTTATATCATATATCTTTGTGTAATTTAGAAATCATAAACACGATTTTTTTTTACGTTAACAACAACAAAACCTTGGCATAATAAATTAAGTTTATGAATAAAAAAACTGTAAATTTTACCGGTACTTTTATATAAAAAAATTTTATAAATTGAATTATATATTCTGAATGACCTTAAATTATTTAAATTTATTACATTTTATGAAATGTATGCATAAAAATTATATATCGTATGTTACACGCGTTACATTAGCCTATGTGAACTTATATAAAAGATGCCTTGATAATCAATGCTTACCTGAGGCCTCAAATAACAAAGCCACCACTAGATAGAGATTAAATGTTATAGTATTAAATAATAAAATTTTGAAATCAATGCTTTATTTGATCGGGATTACATAAATGAATATGCTTAGAGCGTACTTTACATTATATTAACCAGTCACTTGATATAAAAAGTATTGTTCTATACTATACATTAATATTATATTTAACTTGATCGAGTAATAATAATAATAAGAGTGTTAAGCTTTAAATAATTTATTTTATTCCTAGACCCGATCCAGTTAAAACTGATCGCAAGGCAATGCACGGATTTAAGGCTATGCAAAAAGAGTTCTTAAAATCAGTAACTGCCAGACTGACTGTTGCTCAGGTAACGACATAATACTTAAAAATAAATAATTTATAATATATTGTCTAGCAAATAAATCGAGCTTTCACTTAAAGCACAGTTTCTAAAGGATTTTTTAAAATAAAATTTCTCGTATATAAGCAAGTTAAAATGTTAATTATATCACAGTTTGTATTTCGTTTGATTATCCTTTTGTTTTTGTTAATTAATGGGTCAATAGTATAATTATTTAATATTTTTATGTTTTCTGTAATAAATAAGATTATTATTTTAACAATTAATGAAACAATTATAGGTTGTCGCCGGGGTAAAAGCAGGCTTTTAAATCATAATTCAAGACTTGATAGCTGTATAATATATTAAAGAATTTTTATTTATTTTAATTAGTATTTTGATGAACTTCCATTAATTTAAATTAGTGGGATTTTATAAGAATATGTTTTAAATGAAATTCTTTATTTTATTAAATAGAAATGTATAAAAAAGGTCGAGGGTGTTATTATTTATCACTCTTTCCCAGACAGTGAAAGCGATCTAGAATTATCAATGCAAAAACAAAGAAATCTCTTGCATAGAAGAGAAATGATTATATATTTATCTCAAGAATGTGAAAATGATAACTTTTTATTCATAATAATTGCATATCTCGTATGATAAAGACAAAATTACTTAATTCGGGAAACATTTTCGGCCTTTAATCAGGCCACCCAGAGGCGGATCCAAGAGGGGTTCAGAGGTGTCAGAGGCTTTCTCACTGACACTTATTATTAATTCAAATATTTTAATTTTTGAATTAGCCCCCCTTCTTTGAATTTTGATCATCTACTGGCCGCCATCTTTATAAATCAAGTAGTTTTTCTGCTATGTTTTATAACATTTCCTTGGTCAGAATAATTATTTTCTTATAAAATAAAATTATAAACACAATATTTTTTAATTAGATTTATATTACAGTATTTAAAGTATAGAAAATTTATGTTTAAATTATTCTAATATTTACAGAAGTTACAAAATTTTATGTTATACAAATATTTAGTATAAATTATATTTTATTTTAAAAATAAATTTATAATTTATATCATTTATATAGAAAACAAAGGATACCAAAATGGAAATATACTGAATAATAACAATAAAATTTCTCAGGATTCGTGTGTTATTCAGTTAAACGAAAGTAAAAAGGATGATCTAAAAAAAGTTCCTTTGGATGAGGATGATGAAGATGCTCCTTTAGCACAGGTAAATTTAAACGATAATACAAATAAAAAAAGAATTATTTTAGTACATTTGTTATTGAATTAAAAGAGAAAAACAATGCAAAAGATTCAAGATTGTAAATATAGACTAAGATCTTAAGTAATTCGTATCTTTTAAAAATAAAATAACAAACTGTACTGTATTTAAATCTGCTGCTTAACTTTTGTTAAGCACATTTATCATATGAGTAAAATTTAAGGACACTTTTCCTCAAGATAAATCCATTATAAATAGATTAAAAACTATGTTACAATATGAAAATGTTCAATTTATATTCAGGCACACATCGGATTATTACGATATAGTCTAATGTTACATAACCACGGATTAAATACTATATGTCGAGAGTTAAATGTTAAATTACCGTAATTAATAATACAGATATTTTTACANATATAACATTAATATATTAATAATTTAAATTATTTCCTACAGAGGTATGACGAGAAGTCTTTGGGTTGGTGTCTTAGTAGCCCTCCCTTCGGGTGCTGGAGTTGCATTATCTGTTTTAGGAGGAAATTCGTCGTCTCTCGTCGGTGTTGCTATTTCTGCTTCTTTACTTCCTCCTACTGTTAATTGTGTAAGAAATTTAATTGTGTAATTTCCATTATTCTAAAAAACTGATCTAGTTCGTTAATCGCACACTCGAAACTAAGGCACCCAGACAGATAAAACAATGAAAATATATCGAATCAAAGTTTAAAAGTCTACTATATTACACATTTATGAATTAACTTATTATTAAAATAATTATTGTTATAATATACATTACTTTTAAATTATTTTTTAGGGATTATTATGGGGTTTGAGTTTCATTAAAACTATGAAATCGCTGAAGGAAGAAACTATTACAGTGAGTTTAATATTTACAAATAACTATTGATAAAATAGAGAACGTCGTATATAATTTATACGAAACAGTATATAACTTTTGATAGTATTTTCGAATTTAATTCTAGTTCTTTGGAGACGGTTTTAATATTACAACTCAACCATCTTTAGTCCCTCCAATCAACTATATTCCTACATATTATAATGTAATGAATAAAGAATGCGTTGTATTAGGAATCCTTAGTTTCATGTTAACTGTAGTTAACATCGCTTGCATTCTTGTAGCAGCTTATGTGGTTTTAAAGGTAAAAAATTCATTCATAAAAAAAAATTTAATTAATATTTCATTTAAAAAATATATTTTAAAACAAATATAGATTAAAGAAGTCGCACCTCACACAAGCGTACCGAAAACATCAAGATTTTGGAAACACGATATTAAGGTATATAAAAATTGTTTATTTTAATTAAAATTAATAATAAAATTCTATTGAATTAAATAACAATTTTACAGGTGGCTAGAGATTATAATAGAACATTTGGAAATAACGAAGGAGAAGAAATGGGAAAACAATTCCTTCAAGAATGGGCTGTAAGTTTATATATTTTTCAATAAATTTCTAAATTTTATCCAATATTAAATGATTAAATATGTTTTATATATCATGGAATTTATTTAGTATTATAAATTATTATTATTTTTTTAAATTTTTTCTCAGAGTCTTACGGGTGTAGATCCGAAAGAAATATTAAGCGATACACAAGAAGCTCGATTAAAACAGCTACAAACATTGAGAGATATTATAGAGGTATTTTTATTATAGTCTATTATTAGCAATTATATTTAATATAAAAATTAATTATAATTGTATTAATAGAATAAATGTTAAATTTAATTATCTTATAGTATTATTTTTATGTAATTATTATTTCAGGATATAACTTATAACTTTATGCAGATATGTTTCTAATATCTCCTCTTTCAAAATGTATTATAGAGATTGAGAATTGTACTTAATACAAATATTTAAAAATATCACGTAAATCTATTTATTTATACAGGTATACCTCGCCTTACGTCGGTAATTGGTTCCAGGAAAACGACGTAAGTCGAATTTACCTGTCTCCGAATCTACTTATCACTAGGAAAGCATTTTAAATAATATATGGTTAATAAAAATCTATTTTAAGCTTACAAACAAATAAATTTTAGTTTTTAATATAGTACAAAAAAAGTAATCTAAATTTACGAATGCGTGTACTGTAAATACAGTACATACTTGTATATATTTTAATATGATTTTATGTGCTTTAAACGTTTATCTAGTGATATTACGACTTCAATATTTGTGGCGGACAGACGTAAAGTCGAATAAAATGACTTAAACTTGATTTTTATTTTTCCATATACTTTTTTAACAAGCGACGTATAATCGGGAACGACGTAACTCGAAACGACGTAAGTCGAGGTATGCCTGTATTGAGATGAACACAAATGTTTTATTGAATTGATGCAAATGAAATGGCCGATTTATTACTTCTGACTTTGAACGTTTATTAATTTAATTTAAAACTTATATATTCAATCAAAATTGTCTTCATCGGCATTAATACACTTTCCCCAATACAATAGAAATTACGATAATGAGTAGCTAAAAAGTCATTAAATGTACTGTACTTTTTATTACGTCCTCTTCCTTGAAGACTTACTTTCCTTGTCAAAAAACTCTGTTCAAATGAATAAAAAAAAAAGTAAAGTGATGATTATAAATTTATTTGCTAAATAAAATATATCACATTTATGTTTTCATACATTCAATACTTTATATATTTAATTTTTTTAGGATGTGGAAGCAGATGATGTATATCAGTCAGTCATAAGATGCATGCCTTCAACTTCAGCCGAAGTAAGTTTTTAATTTTAAAAGAAATTAAAATGAATATAATTTCTGCATCGTTTTTTTTCAAATAGACTAATTATTATTTCATTTAAACTGACATTTTTTAATATATTTATAGCCAGGAACAAATCCATTGGATCTTGCAAATTTGCAACGTTCGGGATCATTTCCTAACGAAGCTCAAATTCCAGCTGTTTGGGACGTAAACTTTGTACCAGATCCATCTTCAGACAAAAACAAACCGAGAAGAAAAAGCTTGATGCAAACAATATTACCTTCTGGAGATTCAAAAGCGGAACCACCAAAAAGAAGAAAATGTAGCAAAGTTCCAAGCTTTAAATCTGATCCTATGGTAAGTCAATGGGTTTTTCATAGATACTTGGAATCGTGTAAGCTATATACTGTAGATGTAATCTACTATGTATAATCTTGGGAATGGCTCAGTATATACATAAATGTTCTTGATAAAAGTTTTTAGTTACTGTTTATTAGAGAGGTTGCGGCCGAAGTTTTCATCTTTTAAACGTGAACGTCGAACGTCAAGCGCCGCTATCTTGTAAGCGCCGCTCGACGTTCGACGTTCACGTTTTACAGATGAAAACTTCGGCCGCAACATCTCTATTGTTACAAGTAACCAATTCGGAATATTTTACCAGGTTTTGTTTTTTCTAGATTTTTGTATTATTTTTATTACAATTTTGTTTATTTGTGGTAAAGTGTCTTCGTGAAAATAAACGTCTTTCATCTTGAGCTGATGAAAATTAATTAATTTATTCATTACTCTAGAGAAAATTTTATTAGAACTAATTAAAATATTTTAAGATAAATTTTTATATCATCTTTTTATTAATATTACAGGAAGAACGAGGTGAATCAGAGAATGTGCCCGGTTTGCCATCGGTAACAGAACGAAATCGCATGTTAAGACGTTCTCTACAATATTCGGATAGCCCTTTCACTCTTTGGCCATCTCAAAACCGTAGAAAATCAATGGCTCCACGTTTCGAAGTCATACCAGTTGAAGATATAGCAAGAATGAGGCGTCGTAGTAGATGCCCGAGTAGAGACCAAACTACAAAATTCTAATTATATATGTACAGTTCACATACTTCACTACGGCGGCATTTATTTTGAGTTTACGCATTACTGACTTATATTAAGAAAAAAAAGAAAAAAAAAACATACCTTTTAATCAAGGAATATTTACAACAATCTTATAATCATTAGTTGAAAATAACCTTATCTTCTCACATTTAGTTAAAATTGCTTATATTTTAATAGTAAACATTTGACCTATTTCATAAGTAATGCTTTTTAAAATAATCATTTATAAAATCATATTCATTAAAATCATAATTTTGGATTCTGTATCATTATCATAAAAAGTTATTTTAACCATTAAAATATTCATTCTTTTCATAATACGATTAGTAACGTTATATAATAATTTAACAGCACTGTTGACTCTTGATATAATGAACTAATTTGAGGGAGCGATGGTTCGTTAATGCCAATTGTTCATTGTATTCAATGTTCTGATCCATTACATAACGAATTTTACACGAAATATAATGAAATTCATTATGGTAAATACGAAGGAAATAAGCATCACACTTAGAAACACAGCAGTAAACAACAGCTTAACTTAACGGGCACTCCACGTATTAACAATCGTATAATTCTCAAACACAGTGGACTTCGCTTATTGTAATCAAAATTCAGTTATCATCATTAATGTGTTTGGGTAAATAGGCCTTTTTTAAAGCTCTATTTTCGTTCTACCAGCTTCAATTTGTGGCTTGATAACGTGCAATCGTTATGTCTTAACCAGTGCTTAAGTCATTACTTGCTTGCAATACAATAGTTTTAAATTGTTTGCATTGTAAGTTAAAACACACAAATTATATATTAATTAGTAATAAGTATCGTTATAATTATAATTAAATCTTTACGTTAAACCTATTTTAATAGTAAAAAATACTAATCATTCTAAAAAAGTTAACAGTAAAATAGATGTATTTTAATATAAAAATATCGAAATAAAAGTGTAAACACTGCCATAAATAAAACAAAAATATTTTATATAATTAAATATAATATGAGATACAAGTCAGAAAGATGTGTACAAATATCTTAAATAGGCTATATTTATTAAAATTATCTTAGTTTATAAAATATATTTCATAAATGAAATTAAAAACTGTGTATATAGTTATATAATTATATACATAATTTATTCATTAAAAAATTGTAATATTTTTTGGATAAAATAACCAAGGATAAAATTATGATATTCATTAAAACGGGTATTTTATAAATCATGTACTGTACAAATAAGATTTAAGTTCATAATAAATAATAGTTATCATTATATTTCTTTTGTTTTTGTTTAAAAAAAAATAAAAGACCTATCAGGGTTCTTACCCGACTTTCTCGGCACTCGAACTGTTAATTGATATAAAGGGTATTAAATACTAAAATATACATATATTACACCTTTTTTTTTTTTTTTGGATATAATTTAAATCGGTATTTTCGTGTAGAAAATACTTATATACATTCAAATATACATCTACTTAATTATATTCTTTCAAAACTCTTTTCGATTTCGTAATGTATTATTTGTTAATTTACATTTTATTTAAATATAATTTTCATTTTGAATCAAAATACTCGATACGATTTCTAAATATCATAATTATACAAGTGAATTATAGAAAAAGTGTTGTATCATTACAAAAATACAGAGTGTAGGGTGTAAGATTGCATATCCCAATTCATGATTATGATCTATTGAATTTTTACTCCATCCCAGGTAGGGGTAAGTGGCCCATTTGCCCTCCTTTGCGGACATCTGTGTGTACTGTACAGTACTGTACATTAATAGTGAGATTGCGGCCGAAGTTTTCATCTATCAAACGTGAACGTCGAACGTCGAGCGCCGCTATCTTGTAAGCGGCGCTCGACGTTCGACGTTCACGTTTGAGAGATGAAAACTTCGGCCGCAACCTCTCTATTATTTTACTTATTTCAAATGGAGCATTAAATTTTTCCTTCTGTTCGAGTTATATACTTAGTAATATCGTTAAATACTATTACACGATGGTGGCTATAAACCGTAAAAAGTAAAAAATCACAGATAAAAAAACACTCTTATTAACTTTTAGAACTACAAAAACAATTCTTAGATTAAAATAAAAAGTTTAATTCTTTTCATTAATGCTTCAAATTTTATTCAGATACGAGAGAATTCTTAAACATGTATTTGAATAAAATACATTTTAATAATTAAAAAAGAAATTTTTTTTTAAATTTTATCTCCTGGGAGATAAAATGTAATACAATACTGTCATGGATTTTGGAATTTAACATTCTCCAACTTGAATTGGTAAATAAATTCAAATAAAAGAACGAAATAGTGTAATTAATGATGTAGTTTAGCAACTAAATTTAAAAGAACCGGTAAGAATTCCTGCGGAATAGTGAAGCGAAGAGGGTAATAAATACACTATATAAAACTATTAAATAACGAATTAAAGAAAGGACGTATGGCAAATTAAAGAAAGGACATATAATTGAATTTATGTCTTAATAAACTACATCTGAGAAGCATTTTAATCAGAAAATGTATAAGAATTTCATGAATAATTTCGCAGAGTTATCAAAAATCAGAATACAGAATAAGCATCCAGAATCTATATTCTATCGTTAAGAAAAATATTCATATTACCATCATTTCCATATTGTTACTATGTTAAATTTTGTCAGGAAAAATATCTAGACTTACATTAGTTTTATTTGTTTTGCTTAATATTAATTTCGTGAAGTACATAGCAGATCTCAATTTTGTCTATTATTTGCAAAGAACGTTGGCCAACACGGGTGAGGAGTAAAGAATCATATCTCAGCACAAACATTAATAAATAATTGTGAATCTCTGGATCTCTGATGAGAAATATCCGATAATGCATCCATCCATCTGAGCGTTTCTTTTGTGTTAACTTTTGCTTAATAATAACTATATTACCTGGGATAGAATATTCATTTAACTAAATATTTACACTCCAACACTATATTTTTTTCTATATTTATTAAGAAAATAGTGTGTCATTATGATAGCATCTTGTTTAACGTCATTTATTTGAATTACGATTGCATCATACCAGATCCGAGAGTACTTGACGACAATGATGAATTATTTACGATGTTTCAAGACAATGTCGTTGTGTGATAGTATTATGCAGAATAACAAACTCTATGATATTCTGAAGATTTACAGGCTCATAGTTATGATACTCGGAATTTCATGTATGAAGTTCCGAGAAGTTACAAAGGGCATTGAAGAGTTCGTCTTCTTGAATTATTTATGGAACGTATGCCAAACATTTTAAGTTAAAAATGTTTTTAATTGTGTTTTGTGGAAGATAAAATGTTTTTGCTTCACTGAAANGGAATCCGCAAATTCCGATAAGCTTCCAATCGGGAACAACTGCAGATCTGAATAAGGTGGTTGGGTCCAAAAAAGTCTCTTGTGCCATAATTATGCAAATTAGATTTGAATAGCATGCATTTCCTGTTTCACAAATAATTTTAAAAATTTAAGCAAAAACATAATTAGAAATTAATTATTTCATCTCGTGTTATAATATGTACAAATAATTCTTCTAGGCAGAAAAATAATATATTTAATTATTGTAATTAGTTGGAACGTAAAAAAAGATTATTAATAATAGTAATAAAACAATTGAAATTACGAGACTAACTTCGTAAAATATTTTATTTAATTCTATACATCTTTAATGTACAGTCGACCCCCTATAACACTGTTGATAATTCCGTTTTATATGAATTCCATGTTGTACGAGTCACTTAGATTTTACAAATACGTGTGCGGCTCACGTATTTGTAAAATCTAAGTGACTCGTGGAATTCATATAAAACATGGAACATGGAATTCATATAAAACGGAATTATCACAGTGTTATAGGGAAATCGACTGTATTTTAACTAATACCCATCCATAAACCTTTATAGATTCACTAGAAATAGATTCCTGGAGGACTTTTATGAGAAATTGGTCCGTATTAAAACGAAGAAAACCCGGAAAACCCAAAGTGGCATCCCTTTGTCCAAGCGCGAACCCACAGTGTTCAGAGGTTTTATCCATTAGACTACTGATGAGCAAGGATATAATTGAAGAGCCGAAAGCCAAAAGGATCTAAGTGCCAAAAATTCAAAAATGTGTAGTTGCCGCGTGTGTACTGTACTTCAGTAATTGTTACAAAATGATGTATAAACTAATCCTAACCATCTTTATAAGGATTTATGGCCTAGCTACAGTTGTCACGTTCAGCTAGACACACATAGCTTTGAAGATCTAGGATTAATTTATACTTTATTTTGTAACAATTACACAAACACACACTCGATTTTTTTGAACTTCTGACTTTCAACTCTTCAATTTTGGTGAATCAATTTGTTGTTAATTGCTCTAAATTGTCCCCTAGATGAAATTGTAGGGGAGAACTTGCCTCCGACGTTACAGTACAGTATAAATTAGTATAGGTAAAGTATAAAGATCTGAAGCTTGTTACTAAACATGTATGACGATTTTATTTTTTTAAATAATTTATATTAATGATAAATATTTCATCTTCATAAAGACGATTTCATGATATAATTTAGTATATCTTTATACTAATGCGATAAAAATCGCTTTGGTAATTGCCTTCGACGTCAAACTGTTTACAAGTTTTTCATGTTGAGAAATTATTCTATGTGATTATATTAGTTTTCAGCTTTAATAATCGCAGTTTTTTCTCTTGTTGCAGTTCAATTAACTCTTGAATTTATTGTTTATGTATTTTAACTAATAAATTAATTTAAATTGTGAGAAAGAAAGACAAAAGGCAATCGATCGTACAAAGTACAATAAATCATCAGGTAATTTATTTGATTAATTTTCGAAAGATGGGAAATAAAGTACAACTTATCAAACTATATAAAAATCTCATGAAAAACAGCAAATCTTGCACGAAAATCATTGAATCAGGACCGTGTTCAAGAACCGACTCAAATTATTCAACTTTTTTAATGATATGCTATTATAGAAGTAGACTACTTATTTTTTAAATTTCATACGGGTACCAGGATTCCTTTCCTACACCATTGTAAATATTTATTATATATAATTCATAATTCTTTATATAAATGTAATAAATAATGTTAACAGCATGGACATGATCCGTATATAATAACAGCTGATAAACTGCAAAATACCCTCTATTCTCAATATTAAAGGTGCGAAATGCATTTCGAGAACAAAATCTCGTATGGTGCCATCAGTGACCGAGTGAATAATACCACTAAACACTGATACGTGGAGTTTTCCGGGTTTTCTTCATGTGTCTATCTAAATAGGGACCAATTCAGTTTTCCATTAGAGTCTTCCTGGGTGGTACCGTCTCCTGGACAGATCGCCCACATATTGTGTTGCCATATTACAACAAACTAAACCTTCTAGATGTACTGTACAGTACAATACTGTATTGGTTTAGTTCCTTCACAAGAAA